GAAAAAAAGAAAAAGAAAGAAGAATCCCGGGGGGGGGGGGGGGGTTAATAAGCACCTATTCTGTGGAAAACCAGGGGATGCATGGGTGCTGATGTAGATCTGTTTTCTTCACACTCGATACCCTTGGTCCTAGAGATTGTCCAACCGGACCAACGCAGCCCTTTTCTCTTATGGCCCTTTGTGTGGAATCGCGGCAGTCTTACCCCAGAGAGTCGAGCGCGTGTGATGCATGATTTCAAGACGCCCCATATATCATGCCCCCCCCGCGCTTGCGCGCTCGGTTTATATGCCCTCTTTCTGGTGCGGATTCCCAGGCGTAACATACGAAGAGGTGGATGGGTCAGATGCGGCCACGCAAGAAGCGAGGAATAACCTCTGGACCGTGAGCGGGCATCGTGGCAAGTACCCGCAGGTGCGAAGAGTAAACGGACAAGCGCGCGGGCCGGCGAGGGGTGTGTGTGGGATCACCCTAGCGAGGATATCAAGCGGCACACACGTGGAACTACGCAAGAGAGGATGGTGTCGTCGCCCTGTCCTAACCCTGCTCCTACCCCCCAACCCAACCCCGCAACCCTTCTACAGTGGGGGGGGCGTCAATAACGCCGGTTGGTTAGCGCCGGTGGCCCTGTACAGCGCCGGTGAAATTGCTTGACATAGACTGAATCACCCCGAGTCACTATGTACGTTACACTGAATAGCGCCGGTTCCTCTGAATAGCGCCGGTCGATTCGCCGGGGCACATACCGGCGATATGGAGGGGCCCCCCACTGAAATAACAAGCTTAAATATCCCCGCTTGCCGATTTTTTTGTGTCATGCTTATTGCGTCCGTTATTTACCGTGGACTGCCGCGTTGGCGACAACGGTCTCTCGTCCGCCAGGTGTTCATAGAGCGGGATGGCGAGCTCGAGTTCGTTGGCCTGTGGTCGGATGTGGAGAGTCTCAACGAGTGCGAGGCATTGCCCCCAGAGGTAAGACCTTCAAGCGAAACATTGCCGAGGGATGTAAGTTGGCCTCTCCTCGAAACCAAACCTTATCCGAACGTCGTTTGCCGGTGTTTGAACTAGCATCACGGAGCCGTACTTGGAAGCCCGACGAACGTTAAAAGTTTCCGGTCCGTTACAAGTAGTGAGGTCGTGTTCTTTCTTTTTCTTGTTTTCATCCCCGAGCGACGAAGTCCGGGTGCGAGACATATCTCCAAAGAGGCTCTGTGCATCCACATAGCGTGTGCCATGTTTCGAGTGAGTCGACGGCCGGGCGGAGCGAAGCACTAGTTCCACGTCTGCGAGCCCCCCTGACGGGGGGCGGGGAGGGAGGAGACTGGATGCATGTGTTGCGACATGACGGCATCTCCGTAGAGCGCGTATAATAGTAAAATAGTACATACCATCGTTTTTTCGTGAAGCTAGATACGCAGCGCACGCAGCACATGAGAGCAAGTCCCTCCTAACCTCTGGCTTGTGTGCGTGTCTGCTGCTGTGTACTCGTTTGGCCTCGTCCGCGCGAAAGATTCTCGAGGCCAATCCGGAGATCAAGACGTTCAAGGCCGTTTTCGGAGATCTGGTCGTCGAGAAAGGACCCCCTCGTCCCCCCGGGGGCACCGCGGGGCAAGAAGTCCCTCAGGGGTAGGCTTTCGAGGCGAGAGGATGATAAACAGAAACAAACCTTGGCTTGAGAGAGCCGAAAAATTCCGCCCGGGTTGATGCTCTGAGCCACGAGAATTTTCTCGAGAATTTTCTGACTGAGGCCTTGGCTGGTGTATGTGTAGTACCAGTTGTTTCGATAGAGGGAACGAGGTCGCGCCTTGCTTTGCATTTTGTATTCCGCCGGGGCGTGTAGCTGCTGCTGCTGCTGCTGCGGCGGCGGCGGCGGCTTCCGAGACTGACTGCCCTTTTGTTCAGGGGAGATGAGATGCACGACGGAAACATCGCAGTACAGCAGTCTTGATGCGCGAGCTCCTGCGCTTCGGGATGAGGTTGTTGCTTGCGTTCTCTGGTGGCGTTTCCCGAATGCGCGTGGCTCGGGGACATGAATCGTCACTTTTCAGCCTGTCGTGTCACCGGCGCCAGCACAGGAGTAGCAATCTTTGCGGCGTGCTCGTTGGCGCGCTTTTATGTATTTTATTGTTATTCAATCTAGGATGGCGTTTGGTGTTATAGGTGACACATGTACGTCGAGTACTCTAAGGGAGGCTTGCAAGAGAACGGCTCTGGCCGTCCGGTGATGACAAAATACCATTGTCACACCCCGCCCGTGTTGCACGCCTCCACGATCTTGTCATACTTTTAGTTTAGGCCCTATGAAACTTCATCGTCGTTGTAGTCGTCGTGTCCTCCTCCTCCTTTGTGATGGCGTCTTTTTTATAGCATTCCCCCCCCCCCTGATATTGTAGTCAAAAGCACTTTAGCGGGCGGGGCATATTTTACGACGCCATACGGGATACAGGCGGATGTCGTTGTTGGGTGTACGTTGAACCCTCTGCGTGTGTATTGTCCGCATCGATTCTGCCCATGAACGGTCACGTATACACCGGGGGCGATTGGGTCAGGGGGAAAGAGGGCCCACGAATAGTGGCATGTCCTTGGAGTGGGGGCGCGGGGCCGCAACACCATTCTTTTTACGTTTTCATGAAGTTGATTTAGCTCAGGCAAGGGCCCGAGATAACCGGTTCACTTCGTGACTGACCGACCTGAACATCCGAACCTGCATGTGCCACACGCTTTGTTTTCTATTTCTTACGGGCCTCGCAGCTGATCTGTTGCCCCCCCCCAACCCTCGAAAGTAAGTTTTGATGCCGAGGAGTCAAGTAGACGCCCTGTAGTTCCCACGGGAAATTGCCGAAGTTAGGTTGGGGTGTTTTTTTTTCTTCTTTTTTTAATGATAATGTATTTACGGAGCAGCGCAAATAGTGGGGGGCTATTTTCTTTCGCGTCAACCCGCGAGTTTGGTGGGCCCCTGAAGTCCCAGTTTTGTCGGACGACCCTCGTTTAACCCCCTCCGGTTTCTCGAAATGGGACTGACTCATGGGATGGGTTTGTTACGGGGGAAAGAGAGAGGGCATCGCGCGTTGCGTGTTGCTTGGTGTGATACGGGGGGGGGAGAGGAAAACGACGTCAGTAATTGGCGTTTGAATGTTAGTGTTCCACTCCCGGGGTATGCTTGAATGCTGCTGGTGCGCTCTTCATCCTTGTCTCGTTTCCTTGTTGGTTTGCTCGCCAGTTTAATTTTTATTTTCTCCCTCTTGGTGACGGCTATACTTACCCTGGTGTCAAAAAATATGATTCGGAGACTGACTGACGGTCGGAGACTGACGGACGGACGACAACGTGGCACGAAAGACGACGGAACAAGGCACAGAACTCGAAAACGTTCTCCACGTACGGTGTGCTGCACAGTAGATGATGCGGTTCGCGTCTCTCCCCGCCTGTCCACTTGTCGTGTAGATACTACGGTCATCGACACATCGTTGCGTTCACTGTGTGTGGTCATCCCATCTGTCGCGGCTGGTCATGAGGGTACCACCAAGGGAGCATCCAACCATCACGTGAAAGATTGCGCGAGGTAAAATTTTCGACGTAGGCGGGCCTATCACGGGGCAGAGCACTTTCTCGCTAAACGTACGTCGAACTCCCGGTTGTTTGTTTGCGCTTGACGCCGCGCTCTGCACTCTCTCGAACGGGGTCATCGTCGTCGTGCACACACATGGTTGTCTCATGAAGCAACCAACACGCGAACATCTCCGACAGGTTTAGCTCGTTTGCCAGATTAGATGGGTGCGTGTTTAGGATCCAAAAGCTCCCCCTTGTGAATGAGGGACTTGAGCTTGGTCTTATCTGCCTGGGTTGGAGTGTCGCTACAACAGCACAACGTGAGAGCAAAAAACAACAAGATCATGAGGACTACCTAGACGCGCAGAGAAAACACCTCTTCACTGTCGCCACCACTGATGCCACAATATGGCTTTCAGACGCGCCATGTACGTTGGCGCGATGACGACATCGTCATCTAAGACACACGATGCGATACACTGACGAAGGGCTACTACACCTACAGTAGTGGGTCGCTTATTATGCGATGGTAAGATCGTCGTTGAAGTAGATGTGCAGGACCGGCATGTAGCCGTCGTCGTCTATGCCGAGCTTCTCGAAAGCCAGGTCATCGTCCACGATCCCGTTTTCCTCCAGGGTCTGGTCCATCTTCGCCGGGACGAACTTCTGCAGGTGTAGCAGTATAGTTAATAGCACCCACACTTAGGAACCTCTAGTTTTGGTCGAGGCTGGGGTTCTTGATTCCTAGCGTTATGCTATGCGGATGACCACAGTCTACGCGGAAGGATTTAACGTAGAGGTTCTTGACGGAGCTTACAAATGGTGCTCAAGTTCTTAGATCTTGAGTTTGTCGAGGTTCCATTTCTTAGCTGCCCAAGCTTAACTTGCGGGCGCGTTCTGTAATAATACAGATGATCAAAGAAGAAACGCGTAACGGGCCGCACAGAGGTGTTTGGGATCCCTTACGAAGAAAAACGAGGCCTCGAGCTCTGGTCAGCGTCCGAAACGGGTGCCGTGTTGACCACTCTGCACAAGTTCTACGCTGTGACTATGTTCAGTTGTTTTTTCGCGTTCATTGAAGCTAAACAAGAGCCTCATGCGCCGCCGCCAACCGTCGCATTCCAGGCTGGAAGTGAGGAAAAGGGTGAGTGTGCGGGACCCAACAATGAGAGAGCTCGTTACAACGTACACTAGCGAAAAATAGAAGTCATGGGGCCAGAACGAACCGGCGGCCATACCTCGTCTTGCAGCACCTTCCACGTGTAGCTTGCGGCGTGGGCGTTGTACTCCAGATAACGCTCCTGGGCGAATGGGATGCATGAGTTAAACCATGATCAAGGTTTTCAGAGAATTGCGTTCTTGGAATATTGCGTTCTCTCCCCCCTAATGCTGTTCTTGTGCCAACGAGCTCCTCCTCTGGTGACGGGGGTCGCACATAGCAGGGGCAAGCAACGAACACCATAACTGGCAACAACAGGTTGAACGGGGAGCGCGCCAATGACAGATTTGTGTGAAGGCGTTTCCTCGAGTGCCTCAGGTCCGTGCACCGTGGTTGGTGTACGCGTACATAGCCCATTGCGTGCTTTTAGCGGGTACTGGCTCAATTTTCATGTGTGCAGTACGACTGTTGTTTTGAGAAAGCGGTGTCGAGAACATGAACTCGCCAAACCCAGGAAGTATTTTCTATTTCGGAGGATGAAGCTTAACGATGACCCCTTTGTACACACCTGAATGTCCGCAATTGTGTCCTCGCACGCCACCAAGAGCTGATCTTCTTGCCTAGACAAAATATTCACCACCCGCAGCGGCCGTGCCTTCCGCGTCAGCTTCTCGATTCGATGAGGCAGGGTCACAACAGTGAGCGAATCACAGGTAGTACCCAGGTCGGGTGTATTATGGACGGTTGGTTGAAATAGTGGCGGTGTCAGCAGTAAGCATATATTCTCCGACAAGATGGGTGCGGATGGTATAGCAACATGCCGCCCTCCACCGTTTCGGCACGACTTCTCAACTGTGGTGTCAACTGATACGGAGAACTAGATGTAGTTTTGTGCTGCGAGCGCGTGATGACAGAAAGCGAGCAGTCGCGTGGAAAAGGGTGGCGGCCGCCTGTGTCGTCGCTTGCTTGGTGCAGGCATGAGTAGCAAGGGGTGACCACCGTGGAAAAACCATCTCGGTTTTCAGCACACCATGGTCAGTCGGAAGGGCATTTCGGGAAAACGAAATAATTTGGTGGGGTATGCACAGGTATCACGCGAGGTGCACACCCAAGGCCCGAAGTGGTGGGCGGTGTACGTCAGGTTCTCTCAAGAGCATCCTGTTCTAGGGATGTCCCCCGGCATGGGTCCGAGGCTCCACCAACCCTTGCTACATCTTGTCTGCGCTCGGCGCGTGAAGCCTGCTTGGCCGTCTCTTTGAAAACCGTTTGCTGAGAGTCCGACGACGCGGATCAAAGGTGATGCTTGGGCGGGAGGGAACACTTTCTTCCATATATTATGTCCCGCTTCTCGCCCCTGTAGCCACTCCCTGTAACGCGTAGTGGTTGCAATACACGTGGCCTTTGTAGGTAGCCCAAATACGTCTTATTCCCCGCCCTGATCACTGCCGTCGAGACACCCATGCAGTAGCCCTTCTATCGCAAAGCCACCAAGGGCACAAATGAAGGTGCTCCTGCCCACCTTGCCAACTACTCTCTTCCGATCCCGCCACCATGGAAGGCCGAAGCTGGTGCTCCACTTGGTCGTGGGGAAATTTGGCGGCACGTGCAAAAACCTGAGTCGAAAACCACCAGAGGATATGCGAACGGGCGCACGAAAAAGACGGCAAACGGGGGCATTCGATACCAGTGCCAACCGAAATGCAGCAACATGCACTGAAAGTAGTCTTCGAAGAACTTAACCTGCGCCTTCCGAAGACAACTCTAGGTACACCCGCTGGCGCTCCCTCACGTGTAGAACATGCTAATGCCGGAGTTACAGCAGTAACCTGTGGGCGAAGACCTCTTCTGCATACTCTTTACATCGCGCTTTCCTATCATGATCTCTACCCTCTTGCTTTGAAAGTCGATGAATGGGAGAGTAAGTTCACTGTACCCGTGAAACCAACGCAAAGCCAACTGAATGCGATCCTCTGGCCCAACAAGCAAGTGACCGGACGAACAAACAAGCAAGTGGCCGGACGAAGATGGACGGCTTGGCCAGTCGATGAAAGCGATGAATCAGTTTGCCACACACATGTCAACACCGTTCGACGACACATGTTTCTCCCACAAACAGATTCGTTGTACAATCAGTCAGCTCGTTGGAGGTTGGTGATACAGAGAGCACATCGTTCCCTGACTCACCTCCCCATGGGTAGATATGGCGTTGTCAGCCCCGTCTGTGGGTCGACGAATGTCCGTGGGTCGCTCGCATTCTCGCACTCCTCCAGCCGCCCGTTGCCGTCGTCACCCTCCTTCACTATCTTGGTTGACAACGCCTTGTTGCTCGACTTGTCGCTGCCACCGATCCCCCGTGGTTTTGGCTTCTTGACATCAGGTGGTGGAGGAAGATGGAACCAATGGGAGACATCAGTCCCCGCGGCTGCGATTAGAGGATCCGCCAGTGGTCCCCTGTTGGCGAGTATCAACTCCGTCAAATCCAATACCTGATGTATTGCGTCGTGCGTACAAGATGATAGTTTTATGGTACGTTGTACGGGTTCACCAGGAGGCGTGTGCGGTTTTGTGAGGCAGGCGCAAAGGTGGAGACTCGCGCACGTGTTCCTACACGTGAGAGGTACAGTAAGACTACATGCAGCAAGACGAGACCGACTGGCCCGGAGTTGAGCGCTGCGGGCGAGTGTATGACGCAAAATGTTGTTCGCTTATCTAGCTGTTATACTTGTCTCAACCATGTTGTACCGATCAGCACACCGCTGGTGTGTTGGTCCGTGCGTTCCTGTACGTAGCAACAGAACACGTTGTCGACTGCACGGTGAGGGTAAGCACTCTGCAGCTTTTCCGCTCTGGTCGTTCAAGGTACCTGCCCAAAAAGCGACAACCAGCAATCCTCCGCACAGTTGTGTAGTGCCACATCATCCGGAGTATAGAACCGCGCCTTTGGAGAGCTGCTGTCGTCTTGGTCACCAGTTGTAGCGTTGTCAGTCATGTGCCTGATTCTTTAGCAGCTGTTCTTTATCCGGAGGTGGACGTCTGCGAGCTCTTCCCTGATGAACGGGGTGTAGATTCGCCCAAATTATCGCCACCCGACCCTGCGACTTTGGCCAACGCTTGTCGTATTTGGGTGTTGCCACGGTCGTATTATCTACGAGAGAACGAAGTAAGCGAAGCAGAGAGAGAACGGGGGGCAGCAGCAGGCAAAGAAAGTTCTCGAGGAAAAATACCGGTTCGTCGTTCGTCGTGCCGTTTCATGAAATGCGGCGGAACATCGATCTCTGTAGTCTCGCCGCGTTTCGTAGGCCACTGACGAAACGCTGACACCGGGATAGCAGTTAGTCTCTGGTCCACCGCGGAGACAGTGCTGCACCGTCGTGGGGCAGGAACCATGGCGCTCACGCAATCGTCATCTCTGATGGCCCTTGGACTAAGGGGGGATAGACGCATGGTGCGTCACAACTCGGTTCCTTCGCTGGGGTCGAATGTCGTCGAGTTCAACTATGGAAGACCTAACTTTACGGTGAGAGTACTGCATGCACTCCTTCTGCATCAACGGCGACGAGTGCCTCCGATACACATGAACATATTGTCCTTTTTTTATGCTTTCTCAACTCAAAACTCACGTGCTGTCGAAAAAAGTCAACGTCGTACATTACACGCGTTTTACGTGTTCCACGAACACGCGGCCGACGACGAAATCCAAGATGCAAAAGTTGATACTTTTATATGAACAGCAGTAGAGTAGTCTTTAAAGGAGTCATCAGGACGCTGAACGATGGTGCGCATGCTCACACGAAGTATATCAGAAATACTGCAAAGATGGCGTCACCCAGGCGCTTATATAAGTAAGCTGCTGCTGCTGCACCTGCTATGCTGTCTGTGTAGAACGCCGATGAAGTGTGGAAGACTACACTACTACTGTGTCTACTGTATGTAAACTACTGCATGATTAAACTTCTCACGCTCTCAGGTTCGCGAACGAAGTGCGTGGTGTAAGCACACGTTCCCGTAGATGCCTACTCTTCCACACCGTACAGAGTACAGCTGAGATCTACTGCCCTTTGGTTGGTTACCTGCGAAAAATATATTTGGATTTGGTCTTTACCACGGTATTCTTCAATTGGTTGGGTCTTCCCCGACGTGGCAGAGTGGAGTGTTGGTTGACGTTGATGGATCGTCCAGGATATGATCAAGAGTTCTAGTCCTCCAGCTACACTCATTCTTTTCCATTATTGGCCTTTTTTCTCTCGCATGCATCTGCTTTTCCGCCATTTTTTTGCTTCCCGCTGTTCTCGTCTACACGATGCAGAATCATCTCCGCTTCCCAAGACAAGCATTACTGCGTGGTTGCTTGTAGCGTAGATAGATGCAGGTGTGCCTGTTTTCTGTGGTGGGAATTACAATAGTCTACTTTTCACAGAAGAAACAGCGTACGCCCCCTATTACGGCGTGCCTTTCGTATGTGAGTGATACGCGGGAGGAAGTCCGAAAAAAATGGTCTAGACTGCTGTGCGTATATTTAGAAGTATGTTATTTTTTATTTGGATGTTTCCGTTTTTCGTGATTTTCAGTTGTGAGGACGTACAAAAAAAGTAAGCGCGCTCGGAGGCTCATTATTAACCTTGATTCGTTCCTTTTCAAGCGAGAAAAGAAAACAAACGGAGATTTTTCTTTTGGGCAGGGGTTAGAAGACAAGATTCAATTTTGGTTTGGATATTCAGAAGACAAGGCACAAGGAATTTTCACCCGAGGGTTTGTTGCAGTAGTCGCTGGGAAGCTTCAGCGGCGGTTGACCGGGACTGGACTTCATAGGGGTTGTAGAGGCCCTGAACAAAATATTCATATCGCGCATGTCTGACCCCAACAAACACACCAACGTACTCAACGTATTGCATAAAGGAAGCTTGAGTACGACGACAATGCATTTTTGTCGTCTGCTATGCAGATCAAGGGTTCCGAGAGCCAGCTGAAGCCCGTGAAGGATAAAGTGCGCGCGGCGGTGAAGAAGCGAAGACTAAGGTTGGAGGAGTTCTTCCAGCCTTTCGACGTCACTCGCACGAAAAAGGTGAGGGTGTTTCGACCTTGTTCCCAGCTGACACTCCTGGAACGCGATCACAACCATTCGGACATGTCATTGTTTCAATACTGTTGTATTCTTATCCCTTTCCCAGATCATTCGATGTAAGTACTGGATTTGGGTGAGGCCTCCTGCGCCTGCAGGAGGGCCTCGCCACACGTAACCCTTTGGGCTGGGTGTGCCCAGGCCCAAAGTGTTTGAATTATCAGTAAGTTCATGAATAGTGGGCATTGTGTAGTGCGGGTGGGATGGTCTCAAATATACCCCTTCTTCTCTGCTCCGGCGTATTTCGGGAGAGAAAAGGGGGACTAAACTAGGTGGGGTCATTTTCCAACATCCTTTCTGGAATATCTGACTCTTCCCGTTCCGAAATCTAGATGCATCTCAAATCCGAGATTACCCAGGTATTGTAAGCTTGCTAGATTTTTTGGATTCGCTTGATTCCAACTTATGCACAACACCGGCCTGAACGGTGTTGGCTAAGAATAAATATGATTTTGAGTTGCAGAGTCCATGCGGGAGAAATTGACTATTTACTACCTCGGACACCTGCAACACCTTGGTACAGGTTAACGAAACAACGTTCGTCAGGGCCATGAACGCCAGCGGCATCGGGCTCACGCAGGAGGAACTGGGACTGCTGATAAACCGTTACAGGCTGCCGGCGGGAAGCGGGTTGATCGACTATCAAAAGTTCTGCGACCAGAGCAATAAGGTTTGTGAAACCATACAAACCTCAGCCCATACCACCCTCGCAGTTCTGCAAACAACATCGTCCGCCTCCGACAAGCTTATTTAGCAGACATTGTCCTGTGAGCAAACCAAGGGGGACTATGGTCCCAACTTCAAGGGATACCACGTCCGTGTGCGTGAATACCAGTTAAGACCAAAAACAACGCTGCGCGTAATGCTTACGTCGTCTCTTGTATCGATGCATGTGCAGGTTTTTACTTCAAAGCACCTGGAACGCACCCCCGGAAAAACCCTCATACGCAGCCTGCAGAGTACCCAGCCTGCCATTCTGGGCGCTGGTAACCCTACCCTGACTCCCACAGAAAAGCTGCGCACGGTGAGCGATAATTTGTTTGCCTGCCGTTGCAAGGGCGACGCGTTTGCGTCCGCCCACTCTTTGTTGTGCCTCTTTCCCTCGGAGGATATGCTAATCAAGGAGAACGGAATCTTTGGGTTAAGTGTTGGCAGTAAGTTCGTTGTTTCCGCTCAAGATCGTTTACCTAGCTTCTCAGCAGTCGTGTAAGTGGAGCATACATCTTATCAATATGAAAAGGGGCAAGAGACGAGGCGCGAGAAAGCAACGTAGCAAAAAAGTGGCAGGGTATCTCAGTTCTGTATTTATTTTGGTGTGACTTGTTTCGGACAGGCGGACATGCTGGAGGAGATGCGGCGCAAAGTTCGCGACGGGAGTCTCATCGTAAAAAATCTGTTCAACCAGTTTGACTTGCACACCAGGGGGTGTGTCACCGGGGAGCAGTTCCTGCGCGCGATCAGCTGCCATGGTCTTCTTTCCGCGGACAAGGTGACGGACGCCGCCTGTGCAAGTGTTCAGACATGAGTGTGACGGCAAACGGAGTGATGGATGGAGCTTCCATTTTAGACTACAGACAGTGAAGTCGGCTGGAAGAGCCTCCGCTTCCCAACCTTGATTAGACGGCGCCAACAATCATTTTCTGTCGTTCTTCAAGCTTGACAATGCACGAGGTACATCATGATTGGATAAGAACAACCACCCTTTGAAAATACCGCACAATTGGAGTCAGCATCGGCATGAAAAAGTCTTCCTTGACAGGTGTTGGATATGGAGAGGTACGGCCACGTTCTCGTCAAGGCCTTCACCGAGCGAGTCGACGGTCCCGGCTTGGAAGCCGTCGTTGTCAACTACAAAACCCTCCATGATCAGGCGAGTGGCAGGTCATGTCACAGTTGCGTCCTTATCACGTCGCTGACGGACATGCGGGATCAACTTCAACCTTTTGGTATTGGCCAGTGATGTACTTGAACCCAGAACAGCCTCAAAACTGTTGTATACCAGCATGCACACAGCTTTTATCATTCGAAGCGAGTGTGAACAGTGCGGGCCCTTCACAAGCCCTCTTCGCGACCGAGTCTTGGTACGTACAGTATTACACGTCGCCTGGCTCACTTTCTGTGCGTCTCGCCGAACGCAGCATGCAATGGCTTTCGTGTTCGGCGTAATGACCGCCGGCTCAACGAATAACCTGTCCCGACGCGCGTCGACACTGAAGTGATGTAAGGACAAACGAATGCTGCCCGACAGCAAGTTCATGACGGTACTGAGGGCAACCTCCGCCTTCCCTGCTCACACCGCCCCCGTTTCATGTCACGGCAGCTTATGGTACAAGACTGCTGGGAGAACCATGTGAAGGAACCAAAACCGGCGCTACTCATCGACGGCCATCCTGAGGTAGCCGGAACGATTTTTTATTTTGTCTGCTGGTCTTCCTGTAGTTGAGGATTGTCTTTGACATTCGCCGAAGAAGCAAAGATGAAATCACGGAATGTGGGCAAACCGTACCAATGTTTGGCGGGTATTAAGGTAAGGCAGATCCCACGGTGACGACGAGGGCCGACTTTGTACAAGACTGTACGAAGCGCGATATCATGGCACATCCGTGCCTGCTTCGCTTGACCCTGCTGTTGCTGTGCTTCTGCTGCACACAGGAATACAACAACTCAAATGGAGACGAAAACGAGGGAGAGCGGCTCGAGAGGTTGCTCGTAGAGGAGGCTGTTGCACGCCGAATCGAGGTAAGGGCCCTTTACGTCTTGACTTCCATCATGGAGCCAGATATTTGTAGGGGCAGGCCCCGAACCGAGTAATACTCTGTCTTGTCGTACGCACCAACACACTATCGTTCCTTTACTTGGTGATTGGTCAGTTCTTCCTCCTTGCGCTCGCAGACTTGCGTACATGGAGCACAGAAACTTGCTCTTCGAGTAAACGAGGTTAGCACACACGTTCTGCTAACCCCGTGTTGTCCGTCGACGCCAGGTTCAAGCGAGGCGTTCCTTGCCATGGTATCTGAGTAGGGGGCTTGGCCGGTGCCGCCTTTTCCGGGGCAACCGTATGCTTGGATTCAACAATGAGTGTGCCCTTGATTGGAAGCCACCGAGTTTTGCTGGGTGACAAAGAAGCCTTTCGAAGAGGCTAACGCTACTTATGCCTGCAAGCAAAGTGTTGCGCTCAAACTACTTAAAGTGCTAGAGGAATCTGCTGGACTCGTTGTGGCCTACCATACGAGAACAAAAGCAGACGGTGGGCAATTGACATCACACGACTGTGTTTTCATGGCGAGAGGAAAATCTCCAAGACAAGCAATCTGTCTCGAAGAGCCAAAGAACAGAGACCGTGTCAGCGCCACACCCACAAGAGGACTACAACCTCATACCCTTCAATGCCCACAAAAATCTCCGATGCCACAAAACGCCTCGCGGTCGTGGCGCGCGACCCCGCTCAATTCAACTGAACCGAGTCCAGGTGATGGACTACCTCAGCTCAGCTGTGGGAGGAGAAGTGGCCGGCACCAAGCACCCCGGGATGGGATCGGGCGGGCTATGCTCGAGAGAACGGTTCCAGCAGCTGCTAAGGGGGCTCTGGCGGGCCCACTTCACGGACGAGGAGGCGGAAGCTCTAGCCGACCGCTACCGCCCGCCGGTGGATTATGCGTCGGCAAGGGTAAGCAAGTCGAACCACAAACATTTGAGACAACCAACCAAGAATTGGGCAAAGGAAACCACAGGGAGAGAGGGAAACCAAGCGTCAAGGCAACGCAAAGCTTAACAACACAGGAGACAAACAAATGATGACTTGGTGCATGGGGACAGTTATTATACACAAATCAACAACGAAACTCCGAACCAATATCATATTTTCAAGACGGAAAAGGAATTGCAAGAAACGTCGAAGTATAGCGGCGTGATTCGACAGTAATGAGTGTAGGCACGTTTGATCTCTGGCATGCCTGGTCAAATGGGAACTACATGGTTCAGATCGGCGAGGGTGAAATACCGGCGGGCGGAGAAAACAGAACTACGCAATCGACACACATCCGACAGTCTTGGCATTCGTCGAGCGGTGTGCTGTGATATTTGCTACGAATCTGCCGTTCTGCTTTTCTAGGCCGCCACGACATGTTGTGTGCATGCTCAACACAAAGAGCGTCAGCGACACAAAAAAACGTAATTACAAGCTGACGTGTTATAGCCAAGAAGCGAGGGCTTCCGGTAGATTTCTGATTGTCTAGGACGAAAACACTTGCAGTGCTCTGGTGGGCTGCACACTGGGTATGTGCGTATCTGATGCTCGGAATCACTTTCGTTTTCGACGTTTTCATTCTGGTTTTGTTTTGGCCAGATGAACACCTTCGTCGACCTGGCGTCGTTCGCGAAGCAGCTTTGTACGCGAGTCTTGGCGGCAAGGAAAACCGCCGCGAAGGCTACGGGGGCGGGAACGAGGCCAGGAGGAGGAGGCGTCGTTGTGCCCCCGAGGTGTGTGCTAGACACGGACGACACTGAGACTGTATTTTTCCCCTTTTTCGGAGGCACTCTTGAGTTTATGCATTTCACTGTTGCAATATCTGGGCCCTTTGTCGATCACTTGTAGAGAGCATTGGATTCTGTATGAGGCCTCCTATCCTGAGGCAGGTAGACCACGCTCCTGAATATGCTGCATCGTACTTGCGCGGGGTCATGTCAGAAACTGACCGCAACGGTTGAAAACCATTTACTGAACTATTTTTTACTTGGAAGGTGGAATGGTTTCTGCCTCTGTTTTTGCTGCCTCGACCTTGTTCATGCTTTTGGGAGGAGGGAATTAGGAAGGAACAATAGCGCCTCTTTCATGCTCGGTAGTTACCGGGCCGGAAGCTGGAGTTAGATTCGTGCCGAAAGTTTTTCCCATCTACCGGGTGCCCGAATTTACTGAAACCATCAGTTTTCGACCGACACTGGAACACGAGGTGTCACGTTCAATTGAAACACATGGTAGCGATGATGAACCGATTGGACAAACACTAAGTCGGCATATTGCTTATTCTGGCACGAGGAACAACCTGTTTGGTACATTCCCGCCGGCCATCCATCAAACTTCGACCTTGCTTGGCGAACGAGGATTCTAGGCTACACATAGTATGTGCGTGTAGTTGTTCGTGTAGAGTCGTCGATGTCAGGCGTAGAGTCGATATCTGTGGTGAAGGCGATGGCGATTCTATTACTGTTGATGGTGGCGCGGTTGCAATGACGAGCACACGCGCCCGTTTTCGTCTATTTCAACACCTCCAACCCTTCACTGCCCAAACATTCTCGAACATGCCTTCTAGGCGGTGTTGTACGGCTTTCAAAATCCCAACGAACAAATTATTTGCAGAAATATTTTTTCACGTCTGTTCGTCAAGCTGCGCGACTGGCAAAAACCATGCCATGACTTCGTGTGGAGAGGTTGGAACCAAGGCTTTGTGTGAGCGGAGTCAAACCTGAGTGTCTTCGACCACAACACCCTCTCATGCCCTTGCATGAAGGTTGTCAGCTAAGGAAGCGAAGGATGTGGAGAATGTCATCTTGGACATTAGAGGCAGGATCTCCCGGGAGCGGATCACTCTGAAGCCGTCCTTCAAGGTGGGCTGTAAATTTAACGGCGACCAGGGGTACCTTTTTCAATCAGCCCCCGCACAAACGTGCAAGAAGCCGAAATGAGGCTCAACCATGATAGCGTTGTTCACGAGTGTGTTTTTCAGCAGTTGACTCACCGATGTTCCGGTGAAATGAGGTCTTCCTCCAGCTCTACATTCTCGAGTCGTGCTTCAATTTTTTGTGACGCATTTATTGTGCAGTGCATCCTCCCTCATAGAGGGTTTATTCGATACATATACACGTGCATCCTCTTTCCAAGCATTCCGCCCTCATTGACGTGAGACCGAGTCGAAACATCGTGTTGAGCATCTGTCGGACATCGAACGGCGTTGCCTCGACTTGGATACGCGGCAAAAAGCCTCACGAATCCCATCAACCAATCTGCCATCGATGAGCTTACTTCCTTCCCCTCTCCCGGACCGCCCTGCACCCGTCCCACACCCGAAAGAACTTCGACCCTCGCAACGAGCTCGTAGTAGCCAACGAGCAATTTGCGAGGGTGCTGTCGACTCAGGGGCTGCTCCCAACGGACGCCCGCCTTCGCGAGCTCCTTACTCGTCGATACGCGGTTTCCGACTTCCGCCGGCAAACAACTGTCCATCAAGTGTGTATCACCAAGGCCTTCTTGTGGTTCACCAAGGCCTTCTTGTGCTGTTCTATTCAATGGGCCAGGGGAAAGACACGGAATTTTAAGTGTTTTGTGTTGGGTTATACGGGCATGATTGGCCTTCGGGAGTGCATTTTTGAAGAACATTCTCGTTCCGAAGCATAACTGACACATTCGTTAGAATACTTAGGACTGTTGATACATTCTGGAAGTGGGCCATACACAAACGTAGTCCGCCCATACATCAGCTCTTTTAGGCTAGTGTGTCCGCCAGGTGCCGATTCGTACGGGAATTACGCTGAGACCCCGCTAGAATAGTCGTGGAAGCAAGAGAACACTTCTACATTTTTGAACTCTCATTGACTCTGGTACAGGATTTCCCATGCAAGTCTGAAGAGGTTGAGTAGTTCACGCCGCTTGTTGCCATCGCGTTTTCAGGGGTTCGTGGCGTACAAGGAGTTCCTCCAAGACGTGGATGCTCCTTTGGAGACGGAGACGCAAGCCTACATCGATAACTTCGTGTTCGGCAGGGACCAGGTACATCACACCCGTAGCAAGTTCTTTCTCCAATTCGTACTGCCCAACAAGCAAAGAGCTGCGGACCAACCATTTCTCCTCATGAAAAACGGAACATCTGTTGTACTGCAGTTTGCACGTTTTCCGGCACGATAGTACAACAAGAAGCGGATCACTTGGAGGTGTTTTGTTTAAGCCTTCGTTGAGACGTCAAGCGCTGACATCGATGACTTTGGGGTTGGAACGAGCAAGCCATTAAGAGAGACCTCCAAAGCCTTTCGCCCTGGGCACTCTCCTGCACTTTCATCTGCAGGTAGAGAGATACCGCGTTGTAGCACAACTCTGCTCTATGTCATATTATTAACCAGTTCTAACGCATACGGGCTTGCCCCGCTACTTCTAGAAACCATTGCTCTGCACCTTGGCCGGTTGCACATCAAATATCGATTCTTTCAGACCCAGCTGTTCGACGCTCCCCAGAAGCACCAACGCAGCGATGGGGGGGGGGGCAAGGAAGAGGGAGGCAAAGGGCTGACTAAAAGTTCGAGCAGCATCTTGCGGTCAGCGGCGTCGCTTACGTCGGAGGCGTTGATGGGGAGGGGAGGGGTCGGGAATAATCCCGCCCGCGACTGCGATGCCATCATTCGTGACGTGAGGCGGAGGACCGCGAGGGAGAGGGTGCGCATGATGGATCTTTTCAAAGACTTCGATCGTTTGCAGCACGGTGAGAGACCATTTTACTGTAGGAGAACATTCCCCGCTGCCTTTGCAAGCATGTGGGCCTACTTGGCTAATTGCAGGAGAATCGACCGCGTTAACCGGCTGGCCAAACAAAGTGTGTTGTCTTGGGACGGATCGAAACGAAGATATTTTCTAGCCCACGGTACGAGACGTTCATGTGGACCGTCGGCATCGTCCATGCTTGCACATAGTGTAATGGTATTTGACCCCTTCCTTCAGAATCAATCACCTTTGAGCTGTGTGGAACTCTCTTGTCCGACCACAGTAGCAGGTTGTTGTTGCTTTCCGTTGTTCTCTTTCTCTTGATTAACGCTTTCCAAGCCAACTCACAATACCCCACGCACACACGATCATAGATCGCCTGTACGCACACACTGAATAGAAGGGCACATGTCTCGGCATGAAGCCCTGATCTAGCATGACGTCACGTCATAGCATCCGACGGCGCCAAATAACCATGATCAACAACGATCACATGTCTACCTCCAAATACCATAACAATAGCATACTTCCTCTGTATCATAAGTCTGGTCCGTTATGTGCGCGTTGTCGTAAGGGTACTTACACGTTGACGTTTAGCCTTTAGCCGGGTGCGTTAGAAAGGCAAAGCACATACCAAGCTGAAGAAAAAAAAAAAAAATGAAGACCGTGTTAGGCACTAAAATTAGGTGAAAATATGGCCATTTTGGCCTGTTTTGAGAATTTTTACGAGAACGTTTTTGAGATTTTTTTTTATAATTCTTTGAGAATTCGTGAGATAACTCGTGATTACCACCATACAAACGATGGATGACCCTAATCCTAACCCTTATACGACAAGGAGGCTTTCGAGAGGGCTCACGCCTGGATGGCATCGAGTCCCAGCGATGACGAGGACGCCTAGTCGACATTTTTCCCCCCGACACCAACAGACACTTTTATTTTACGCGCAAGTGTCTTGGCTTTAGTGTGGGCTCCCCAAATGTCTTGGTTTTAATGTGGAACCCCAAGTGTCTTAGTTTTGGTATGGGGTCACTGCTATACTGGTTTGAGTATAGCGGGACGCGACGTAGATCGTTGAGTAGAGGGGGGGGGGTTCGGGCCCTACTCTGTTGTTTTTTTGCCCCGCAAGTGTCTTGGTTTTAGTGTGGGACCCCAAAGTGTCTTGAATTTAGTGTGTGGGTCACAATTATTATGGTTTTAGTATGGGGGACGTGTTATGGATGGTTGAGTCTAGGCGGGGTTAGCTTTAGGGTTGGGGATAATTCTTCTTGTGTTTTTTGGGGGGGGGGTTAGGCCAGTGCCCCACCTACCCCTCCCCCTGGAAATGGGCAAAATATGGCTGTTTTTTGGCCGACTCAATGTTTTCCGGCCGTTGAGCCGCATGGTTCAAGCACCAGCTCTAAACAAAAACAAACTTTTCTTGCTAAAAAAACGCCGGAGAATTCAACAAAAAAAACAAAAAACAGATCGGACACCGTTAAGGGGGCGCATAAACCTAACGGACCAGACTTATGATACAGAGGAAGTATGATATCATTTGTTATAACGCGAAAACACCAGAATACTAGACTATAGAGAGAGTGCCTCGTCGTTGTAACAACAGATTGGCGCTGGTCTACAGAGCTGCATGTATACGAGAGATATTTCCCGATTTTAATGCATGGAGTCTGCACCCCAACCCTAACAACCGACGCCTACCGCTAAGTACAGCTGGAACAAACGTTACGAGGACGATGCATTCTGGTGTAGATTGTAGTCGCCTTTGCCAAACCCTCACTGATTGGTACCGTTCGCTTGATGATGTTGCAGGAACATGCACCCAGGCCCAGTTGGCGAGGGTCATGAAGACACTCGACCACCCTCTATCCGACAGAGAATTGGCCGCCGTTTGCGAGAGGTGCGTCAAGCAAGACGAGCTATGGTACAGATTTTGTTGCTGGTTCTGTGGCGGGCATGGGTTTCGGTGAACATGTGTGCTAAGCAGATTGCACCTTGCCTTGGTCGAACCGATCCATTCCCACATTTGAGTATTTATTTAAACCAATTCCAGCTGCAGTACCCATCTGTCATGCCCAGCACGTTCAAAAGGAAGGATGTTGGGTAATTGTTTATACCAATTTCAGCTACAGCAAGCTATAACTCTTCCGTCATGCCCAGCACGTTCGCGTTCGAATGAAAGATATACAAACTCATTCTTCGCCGCATCATCGCCCAAACCACGAACGCAACAACGGTTTCCTGGCAGTCTTGGTTGCATGCAGTCTGTGACACGCCGTTCCTCGGCCATCGCCGCAACTCTTTTCAGGTACAAGAGCAACGTCCCGAGCGAATGCTCTCCTGGAGACGGCACTCCGCTGATCGTCTACAAGAACCTGGTGTCCGACATCGAAGCCGTCTTCACCGTCGAGGAGTTGGAAAAAAAGTCGGCCGTCACCAATGTTGAGCAGGTACCTTTCAATTGGCGTCGTCTACTACGTATTCTCTCGTGTTTCTCGAGTCACAGCGGAAGTTCATAGTGATGACATCTGCTCCGTATTCTCTCGTGTATCTCTGAAGCTACAGGAAGCTCTCCGAATATTCCGCACCGAGTCCGTGCGCACCGAGAGAGGCCGAAGGAAAACGCCATCACGAGCGAAATTGTGTTCCGACCTCGTGTGCCTGAGAGCGATTCCTTTCGCAAACATGAACCTTTTCACACTGCAGGGCGAGCGATATAGACAGATGCGGGTGTTCTGCCAAATGGCAACCTTTTCGATGCGTCTAAATAATTCACCAACAAGTAGAAGCTACTGGACAACGGGCCGACCAATATAAACAAAGCACGAGCCCGAAGTCACTCGATGTACCCCTACCATTGTAGACTCAAGGCGCAGCAGGCGAAGGATATGCTGAGCAGCGGTGGCCAAGGGATGAATCGTGGACGCTGCACGAGGGGAAGGAACACGTCTTTGGGGATGTGGTGCCTAAGACGATGTGATACGACTCGTTCCAAGTCTTGAGTGGTGTGTAGGAAGTCAATGCTCACATGTTGTCAAGATAACACAGTCCATTCGCTCAATAATCGGGCACGAACTATATTTTCTCAACAGCTGGAGGACCCCCATCACCTTGGGGGGTACATGAGGGTGGTAATGGAACTGATATCCCGAAATCACAGCTTGTGCTTAAAGAAACCTCAAATAGCAGTACTCATTTCATCGTTGCGTCTGCTGTCCCTGCGTGCCGACTGTGACACATCGAAAACCCGGCTTCGACGAAGGCGGTGCGAGAGGCGAGGGGCGTGGATCGGCGATTGAGAGGCGAGTCGTCCAGGCTGGAGGGGCTGAGCGAGGAAGAGGAGCGGATGCTGGCCAAGTTTCTGCGGGAGCTGGCGATGAAGGTGGGCAAGAGGGCATCTTCGCTCGTTGAACTACTGTCGTTTCAGGACTATTTCATTTAAACTACAGGGACTCGCGTCACAGAGAGATCAGCAGGTAGAGTTCATTTGAGTTGAAAATTCATGATGAAGCACTCCTGGCTGCCATCGGTACGTCTCTTTGTGCCCTCTGCTTGTTCTTTGCCTTCTCTTGGCTTGCCGGCACGTCAAGGCCGCGGGCACGACCATGGATTCACAGCTGTAGAAAGGCTTGTAGCTGGAGTAGGTTCAGATATTGGTCGAGGGAATGTTTGGTTGGAACCTGGCGAGGGAGAAAAACAGCCTCGTCATGTTCCTACTGCCTTCACAGGTGAACAAGGACAGCCTATGCCTTCCTTCCCTCTTCACGGACTACGACCGCTTCAACGTCGGAGACATCACCGAGGCCGGAATGGAGAGGGCCCTGGGGGGAGCCTGCCTCCTGCCGCCCGAGCCCATCTTCCGCACGATCGTCAAAAAGTTCAGGGAGCACTCCCGCCGCAGCTCCGGGGGCGAGGTCAACTACAAGGCCTTCCTTGCGGCGGTACGTTTTATGACCTCCGTTGATTTCGACCTTGACAGTGTGGCGACTTGCTCCAGCACTCGGGGATCGTGACGTCCCGTTCATCCAATGAGAGAATGGCCCATTCTGGCAACCCTCTAATCGATGCCGCTTGTCCAGCTCGCTGTCTTCTGATGGTTGGTGCCTGAGGTTAGTGATTGCACCGGCGTGTGTGTGTAGTCCATTTGGTTCCTTCTAAAAAGCTAGCCCCACTTGGAACACCCGTCATCCAAACTCAGGGGAACCTTCAGCATTCTTAAGGCTGGGCAGAACCTTCCACGCGTTTGCTGCTCTTACTTTGACGGCTGTTTGTTGTTGTCTTGTCGTTCCGAAGGTGGAGCTCGCCCAGGACCCACTCGCAACGCCGCGCGACCTGCCCAATGCAACCAAGTTCAGGGCCATGCGGGCGGAAGGGGGAACTGAAAGCTTCGTACCAGCACCGGGTTCAGGCCCAACCTCCCAAGGGTACCGTGTTACTGTAGTGGAGCAATAGTTGTTATTACATACGACACTCTATGACTCTGTCCGTCACCTCGGCATACTCAGCACTTTCAGCACTGCCGGGACAGAGCGGGGAACCTGAGACGTACCTGGGTTGACTACTCGTACCAACTTTCATTGGACATGAAAAAATTATCACCGAACCTCCTTGTGTATTCATGATTGTGACGGATGACACGCCGTCTGTGTCGAGGAACGACGCAATTTTATGTTGCTGAACAACTCAAAGGACGGCACGGACACATCGTCTTGTTGTTTAGGGCGCTGTGAGACCGCTTGTTGTTGTACTTCTTGGGTGCACCAACGAGAGTCACTAACGTGCAGATATTCGTCATGTGTTGTTCTTATTTCCGATACATTGAGCAGAAGAGAAGGTGCTGCAAATCCCCGGCGGTATCGCAAGGCTCTGTGGTCTGCGTTGCGAAGCATCGGCTTGCAGCTGAGTCGCTCGCACTGCCAGCTGGAAGATTTCCTGTCCAACGAAGACACCCTCAAGACGTGAGTCGAAGCATACCAAATGAAGTTTCAGTGTCTCTGGAGTCGCTGTGAATGCCGGGCGACTGTAACGCGCGATCCTCAAACGTTTGCCAGACGCCATCGGAATAAGCCCATTCTCGCTTCAAAGTCGTGTGTCGGTCTGGGGACTGGTTCGTCGGGTTGCGATGGCCAATGCGTACCCACCCATCGCTCCAAGTAGGTGCGAAACTACACAGATTGCATACTTTTGTATCAACATGCTGGTCTCAGCTGCCAACCGGACAACATCAACAAGTACGACGACTACGAGATTATCGACAACGACAACACGAACGACAACCGTAACAGCGACAGAATGACATAACCTTCAATGACGACAGTGACCAACACCTCCACCATTTATAACGATACCAAGAACTCCAATCCTTACAGAGGGGAGGTGACGTGTACGGCGATGCGGCACTGCCTCGTCCTTGCCGGCGTCCGCCTGACATCACCGGAGCTGGCCGCGGTGGACAGCGCGTTCAGGAGCACAACGAGGCCAGAGATGATTGGCTGGAGGGACATCTGTAGGGCAGCTGTAGACGCCTACAACAATACGGGTACGGCCATGGAGAAAAAATATATGTCATTGAGAGTTGGGATAATTGTTTTTAGCATTTCCAACTCTCCGAGATCCTCGAGTCGGTCATAGATGGGCGTGGCGATTATTATATGTTGTGGCTGCCGTTTTTGGTGTTGCCTCACAAACTCGTTTGTAAACGGTCGGACTCGCCCACTATCCTGGAACCTGTTGTTTCCGTTTTCCATGTTCTGTGTGTTGTGTAAGCAAGATTTGTTTGCACTCCAAGTTTCTCCGAACACTGATAGTTCGCAGGGGCACACGTTCGTCCCGCAGGCCTGCACATTCCAGGGAGCCACCAACGCTTAACACGCAATGTCGTCCTGACTCCACACGTTTCCTCCACCACGACGATTCAGGTCACAAAAGGTTCATGGATGGAGGCGCTTCTACCGTGGCATCTGGGGGAGATGACAGCAGCGGCACCGCGACCTCTTCCCCTTCCGGGTGGAAGGAAGAAGAACTTCTGCTCAAGATCGACGGGGAGATCAAGGCCAGGAGCCCTAATCTCGAGGCACGTGAAACCCAAAAACAACAATCTCCGCTTTCTGGATGGCACAGAACGCACATAGTACCTGGTACTTTTTTCGGTTGCATGTTTCACTCTACTAGCGTTGTTTCGGTGCACTTAACGATACACTTCGTGAGTGTGGATAGTATATATAGTCTTGAGCTCTGTGTGGCAATGGGTCCAAGGTGACCGGGCTAGAGCACCAAACACATGGAGCACGAACTACAACATTCCTCCAATAGAAGTGATCACAGACGAATGCATCAGAAGGGGGAGAGCGCGGTGGTCATTTTGTTCTCACGTCTATTCGCATCGGAAATGGTCGAGGTAACGGCTGGGTGGATTTGGTCCAGACGGGTCTCACGGCGGAGAGAACGAGTTACCGAACCCCACGTCAAGATGATTTGATCCTGAACCAAGTTCAGAACGAAAGATAGCAAAAGGCACCGAGGAGAAGAACAGTTCATTATTGTAGGGAGACTGAAGGCGTGGAACAGAATCACTAACGAGGTTAAGAAACAGAGTTCAAGAGTTAGGTTTTGTCGTGGATCATGATTCTTGAGCCCCGACATGATTACCCTTATCTATCCTGAATCACAGGCGCTCTTCAAGGAATTCGATCGCTCCAATCGTGGGACCGTTACGGAGGCGCAATTTTTCTCTCTTCTCGACCAGGCAAGTGTTTTCCGTCTCCTCGCACATACGACTTGCTTCATGGCTACGACTAGTCTCTCTCTGACAGGAATCAATGGAAAGACACTCATCGCCCATCCATGCAGTCTGAAGTTGTCTGTTTGCGCAATCGAACCATTGAACATCGTCGGATGTGAACAGGAGCCTACGAAAATATAAAAATATCCGTCACCAGCAGTGGTTGATCCCGAGTCGTGTGGAATTTGACGAGAGGGGATGTGAGGGTGACGCCTGCAGTAGAACAACGACGCCCTTTGCTTTACAGTATTGCCTCCGTCGATCGTTCTGCCGCCCTTTCACATCAGGGACTCCCGAGGATACACTTTACGGAAGATAACACCAGCACTCTGGCGCGGCTGTTTGTAGACCGCACAGGATGTGACTTTGGGGGGAATGTTCGGTACAAGCAGTTCATGGAGGCTGTGGGCGCTTCGGCGTGATGGCGATTTACATGATTCGCATGATCCGTACTTCAGACCCAGAGCGTAGTCGGGGAACGTCGTTGTTATCACAGTGGTCGTCATCACAGCAACTTGTACTAGACCGCAATCCGACGGGTCCATTCCCGAAAGCGATGGCCGGGGGAATCGAATACTTCGCACTACAACCAACACGTGTCGATACGTTCCAGGAGATGATTTGCATGCCCACGGAGAGACCCAGAATATTTTCTGTATGCCGTTCTCACGCTGTAGGCGAAAACACCTCGGAGGGTGGTAGTCAAATGACGTCAACCCCACCCCGCGATTCCAGGATCGTGTGATTTCAGCGGCAGCTCATGTGTTGCCTACACAACTGCGTCTTGTGTTTAAATGTTTGTTTTGCTTCAGTCTGCTTCTCCGCCTGTGTGACGTTCAACCGACCAACAAGGTTACTTGCCGAGTCGAAGCGTGGACTCCAAATGAGTATATCTCAATCTTCGCGCGAACAATAATATGTCCGGTCCTTGTATCAAAATCTCTCTGTAGGCCTACATGTAAACGGCCCAACGTTTTGAGCTCATGGCATTGACATGAGCGCTGCGCCCGCGCTTCCACGTTACTATGGATCCGTTCATGGCGGCAAATAAATCTGCTTCGACAGCTCGCTGAAACAAGAATTATCATTCGTTGCTCTTCCGTGCCGGAGTCTGGCTTAGTTGACGGCGGGGGTAGTACAAGAAACCCTGCCTTATGTATTCCTCGAGCCCCGGCCTCCTCGGAACAAAACAAGACAAAAACTCAATCGGCTGTTATCTCAGCCTTAACACCGGAGGAATTACAACTTCTCAAACACGCATTTTTATCCCCGACAAAAGTATGACACACTGTATCTGCCTAGGCGCTAACTACACATCTTGAGACTCTCCCTACCCTTCTCTTCTTAACGAATAAAAGACAACAACCATGCTCGCCGTTTATACCCACAAGCCAGCCAGAGTTAACGAAAATGCTCGTGGAAGGGTCTACCTCAGAGAGAAATACTTTCTTGATCTGCATCTCACAGAATGCCGGTCGCACATCAGCAGCAACTGCTCCCCCGAGTAGCCCGTTCGAAAAATCGCGCCTCCACCCTTCACCCAATCATCTGGGAGCCCAATGTCGTGGGCCGCAGAACAACGAGACAACTTCGCCAACACCGGGCAAGAAAATTGATCCAATCGTACGAATAGGCAGCGCAGGCCCAGATCAAAATGGAACGTGGCTACACGAACTACACACATAAACATGTTTGTACAGATCCAGTACCGGCGTTCTATTGCGTATTCCCCTAAATCTACAGCTAGGCAGGGTCCGATCAGTACCGCAGGGCGCAGAAGCACGCTGCTCCGGCCTTGATCCAGTAATCCTGATCGCAATATTGTACCTGCCGGGCGGCGCGATAGATAGTGGAAAGGGCGAGTTGAGCAAATGGCTAGTGCAACGGGTGTGGGGCACAAGACGCAATTCAGCGACCCTGGTGACAATGTCGCAGCCGACTGCGCAACGGATAACCAGGCGATAATAGCTACAAACCGACGATCAATGCGAGGCCAGGAAAATTATCCAGCTTTTCAACTTCTGTGTGCTTTTTGTGACACACCCAAGAGTTAAGAAATCGAAAAAAAAACTGGTGCGTGGACAAGTTCGACAAGTCCGACGATGCCTCGTCCGTTCCCCGAGTGTTGGGTAAGTCTATCAAAATTTCGGTTGCCGGTGCACCAACTCCAGCCTGTCGTTCTTGCGCTATCACGAACACCGAAACCAGGAACGCCAATGAATCAAGCGGGGCGCTGTTCTATGCGATTCCCTCCTAAATCTGACCTAAAAGAATGTACGGCTCAAACAAAAATTGACGTTCAATACGCACCCTTGAGCGGAATAATACCCCAAAATGGAACAGGATACTGTCGAAACGACCAGATCGAGACCGATTTGGCTTTGGGTTCTGTCTAATGTACACCGTGCTTGGAGATTTTTTCATATGAAGGGCACTTGTCGCGACATTTACAGAGTAGTAGCACGCGAAGACGGTCCGCGTGGCTAACCTGTTTGTTTGTCTCTGACACGAGGCTGGCCCTGAACGTGTTGGCCTTGTTGCTCGGGATCTCTATCCAGAAAACGAAGTTGGTGCTGTGTCCCGTGGTAGAGAGAACCCCGGTTCTTGTCAAGATCTGGTAGACGCGGGTTGGCAAGGAGATGAGTGCGTCAAGCCGAAGAAACGGAGTTGCGACCAGCTTGACAAGCAGTGCAAACGTGTCGTGATACTATCAGAACTGATATGAAGACAGTGATATCCTCCGGGTGTGGCAAAACGAATGGCAGGGGAAACCAGGAGATGAATGAAGGAGTATGCACCCCCCGGACGATCGGGAATTTTCTGTTCGCGATCTTCAGGCGGTGGTATGCATACCCTTCTTCAAATGGCACTTTGGCGTGTATGTTCAGGCCCCCGTGGAGCATCCGGACGCCTTCTTTACTAGCAAGGGTAACGTTGTTTGGGTAGGCCGAAAGCTTTTCGAAAAAAGTACAAGCACCCCTTTGTCGATACAACTCGCATTTCCGAAGCTGACCGGGTCTAGTGTTGGTTCTTGCGGTTGAACTCGGGAAGATACCGTATACCGACAGCGTCTCGACGTGATGGCGGTGGTGGTCACTTTCGTGCGTTTGTGAGAGCCCAGAACAACAATAACGATGCGAGTGTTTGTGTGATTGTGTTTGTCTGGCGTCTCGGTACTACAGACGCCGCACCTTGTAGACAGGGCAGCGGTAGATCCCAGTCTGTGGCGTCTCTCGGTCTTGCTCAGGGAGTAGATGGACAACGGGCATCGGGCTGAAGAGCTCCTTTGGTCGAGGGTCAACCTGTTGCACGAGTTGAATGCCACATGGGAGTGGGGAGGTCGCTCAGTTGGCGCTGTTGTCGCTATCGTTGTTTGTATTTGTTGGTGCTTGTTGCTGTTGTCGGTGCTGATGACGTTGGAAAAAAGGAGGATGATGATTGTGTCTGAACACGGCAGAAGGACCAACTCACGTGCCAAGGACAAAAACGAAATCAACGCAGGTCAGATTCTCGAAAGGCGGCGGCCGCTCACCAACGTCCGCATCGATTTGTCCCAGCAGGCGCCCTCCAAGAAAAGCCCGTGGATGAACAGACCGTCCTCAGGCCTTGAGAAGAGAACGAACAAGCGACGGCAGGAGGGTGTCTTCTTCAAAATTTATATTGAAAACATGCAGTGGTGGGGTCTTGCGTAGTGAAGGCTCGAACCTTTGTGGCGGTCATGTATGGCTTAGATCGGATACCACAAACGTCACCGGAGGAATACCCGTGCCGTCCACTGCACGCCACCTGGACACAAACGAACACGGTGCGTTTCCCAGATCCGTGTAGTATACTCATTATGCGCTCTTGATGCAGCATCAATCTTTTACAATGATCCCTTGTCACCGTCTAAATGGATAGGCACCCACAGCTCTGAAGCGTTGGAGATCATTGGTGGCCTCGTTTGCTATAATTACACTCACGTTGAGAGCGCGGTGCGCGGCTCGTCCTTGAAGTGAAAGGCGAATGTGGTGGAGTCGATCGGTACGTCATGTTTTCTCGCGAAATTCTGCTGCCCAGCAGTGAGAAAGCCCTGGGGGAAAAAGAAGCCACTGATCCAAAACACCTGTCGTTTTTGTTAAGGGAGGTGTGGAAACAATCAAGAGGGCATCAATGTCTACCGTCGTGCGTAATACTCAGCACCGACGACTGGACTTTATATGCGAGGGCTGCAGACTATGTACCTTGAAAGAGTCCCGTTGTTAGATAGTGCGCACGTGCATGTGGGGCCGTTGCCGCTTCATCGTCCCACCGGAAATCACTCCTACCGACCCACACAATACAAAGTGGTCCCTGTAGAAGGCCGCCTAATACCAAGGGGTCTGGCTGGTCTTGCAGCGGCGGGCATCCGGCCCTATCCAGAGTATGAGACAACTTGAACGTTCCATCCGTTTCTCGCGATTTCACCCGCCTGGTACAGCGCGACGGCTTTATGTTTTCGGCCTACATGTAGACTAGTACAATATTGCACTTGTATTTGAATCGGAGAGCCTTGTCTCCTCCTTCGTACCGGTGGTATCCCATTGTCGACCCAGCTCGTCATGAATCCCAGCCGATCCAGCAGGTCTTGGTACCAAGGGCCCAGGGGCTTGAGGCTAGGATAGCCCTTCGACTGCCACACCGCCGGAACGGCTTGGTCAAACATGCTGAGGGTGGGGACGCAAGAAGAAGTAATGGATTGGGCTCTCACGTTCGGTTGGTGTCTCTCTCAAGAACGCTGCCGGCTGTGGTTTTCGTAGGCCGCGCCCAAAGACACCTTCCTAGGAGCGACGAGAAGCTTTGCGAGAAATAAGTCTGGGGAGTGTGCGCGAGTGGTCATACGACTTAACGCATTCTCTGCGCCAAGGTTCAACTCACTTATTCTCCGTCTGCCTCTTTCAATCTCCTACAAGTTGATTTATTGATGCGTGGGAGCAACATCAACGGGAGGCAGAGCCGTACCTATTGCCCATGGCCTCTAGCTCCGCACTGAGAACGACGAGACCCTTGAGAGCTTTCTGGACCTGCGCAAGCACCATCGGGTTGTCGTGTAACCAGGGGCAGCAGAGTGTGATGAGTCGAACGCTTGCGTTCGGCGGTCGCTCACAACACGGCCAAGCACAACCCTGCGGTAGGCACGCCCCTCTTGAGCTTCCGCGAAACCGTGTGGAGGACACACATCGGTGTACCCCACCCCTCGTCCTTGCCTCCGCTTTATTTCTACCAAAGGCGGGTCACACCAACGTGTTTTTTTACAAGGGCGCGGTCGAGCAACGGACCAGCCGGTGGTCTTCCCACCCACGATCACCCACTTATTGTCGGAGTCGCTACAACTGTCAGTCACTCCCCAAGCATTAACAGCTCTGAAGCAGTTTCCTGTACAACTACTTTCCTCCCTAGGCGTGGCTCCAACGACGACAACAATCCTGGTTTATCGTTCTACGCTAGGGGCCATCGTGCGAGGTTGCATCGATCTAGTCACGAACTTTACCTCCTTGAGCGTAGCTCGAATGACGACTGTAAGGTTGTTGTACCGCTGCAGCTCTTGAACCAGCACGGTGTTCATGCTCTCGCCGTACGAGGTTGGGTAGGCCATCCCCACGGCCTCCACATCGTAAGCTGCGGGAAGCCTGCTCAACACACGTTTACAGTCGCAACAACCGCAGACTCGAGCTTGAGTGTGAAACTGTATCTTGCAAGCATCCCTGGTGAGCGAAACCAATGGATGTCGGAATGATCTCCTTTGTGGAATCTGGTTTCAGGCTACCGGCAAGGGGGGTATCTCGGATCTCCGAGCGAGAGCACGTGGACGAAGTCCCTCTGAAGCATACATGCCGATAAAGGGCACGTCAAAATAAGCGTAAATAAGCAGATTCGGCTCGCGGAAAGCTGGGTACGACGACCCACTAGTTTCATGACCGTTGTCAATGCCCCGATATTATTCTCTGCTGTAAGCGACACCCTTCTCTAGCTCTGGTTTTAAACTTCCCACCAACTGTTTGAGGACGTTCTGGACAAAACGTTCGGCGCGACCCAGTCAAGGCCGTTGTTTACCAACCGGTGTCTTGATCCGGACTCACCGATCTTCCATGTCCTTGGCAATGCCCCCAATGAGATCTTCGCGAGAGGCCCCGCCACCGCCCCCCGTCCTCGGTTGCATGGACAAGACGATCGAGAAGCTCATCTCTGTGTCCGCGATTGCGCACGTGATGTTCGCGTTTTCGTGCATGCCAAACACCTGTTCCGTATCAATTATGGTCGTTGCACGAGGGTAGCATGTCGATGATGCTCCGTGGAGGGCTAGCACGACATGTATCGTCCGCGTTTTTTTGCAGAAAACGCGCGGTGAATCTCTTGTCGTCTTAGTATATTTTTGCGCTCACTTTTTCCATGATGCGTTTCCTCTCGTGGAACCTGTGTTCTCGCCCCCGAACATCCGCTCATTCCCTTTGCAATACATTCATAGGCGAGTACTTAATGGGGAAATAACCGACGTTCAACACTGGCGTGGCGACTCTGGATCGACTGCAAACAGCGAAACGCCTCTCCCCGTTCATCTCTTGGGCGAGTGAAGAAATCACCAAGAGTTCATTGTTTCGTTGTATGCATACAACCACCGTACGATACGGTGTGTAGGACTACCCTTCCCCCTCTAACTCAGGTACAGCTTGCCTCGGGTTCAGCGTTGAGCGGAAAGGACTCGATGTAGTCGAGGTAGCTTTGCTGGGGGTTATCTGGATCCGGTTCGATCGAGCCGTACCTTCGAGCGGGGATAGCATCGCACGTCAAGGTCAAGTAGCAAGGCAGCAACGTGATTGGTACGACTTTTCGTGGTCGATTCAATGACTCATCCATCCTGTTAGATCCAAACTCCGCTTTCTCGCGTGCCTCCGATATCAGGAGTTTAAACAAGTAGCGGTGACAAGGAGAGTTTTGCGCAATCTGGCTTGACTCTCCATCACAAGTGGGGAGCATTTTTTTTCGTCAGTGGTATGTGCGGATTGGGTGGCAGCATCTATGTGACGTGTGGCGGGCGTCTGAAAATTTCGCCAGGAGAATCATGACATCGAAGAATAGCAACGTCGACAAACATATGTAGTGCCGGATCGTTCACCCACCGGCCAGACCGACTGAAGCTGAAGTCCTTCGAGAGAATTTCCGGGTTGTAGAACCCTGCAATGATAATGTCCGAGGTTCGCATGTCCTTGTCGTCGGTGATGCGGCCACCGTAGTTAACTACGCTTGTCAATTGTCGAAGAACCTGGGGTTGGTTGAACGGCGCAAAGTTGAGCCTCGGGGATTGGGCAGGGGAAACAGGGTGGCGTGCTGATAATTGATGGGATAGGGGTCTCGCTGCTGTCGCAGGCCGTATTGTTTCCCCTTAGATCACCCTTTCAGAGCTGGGAGGGATTACATTAGGTCGAAATCAAACCAAATGAATAATGCACCATCCAAGAAGCGCCGGGAGGATCGCCAGGAGTTGAATTGGAGGTTGATCTGCGCTCGGGGGGCTGACCCGAAGTAGTATGCATACAAAGTCGCGCAGCTCGCATCAAAAGCTCGAATTACCTGGTAAGGGATGACGGCATACTCGTCGACGTACATCTCCAGCTGTGCGATGCAGATGTCTAGGTCCGTCTCGTTGAACTCGTACGGAACGTTCCAACCAAGGGGTCCGAACTTCTTCCGTTCCACGACCAACGCGTGGAAGAAACAAAGACCTGGGAGGTCGTTGGTGCACCAAGCATAGATAGGGAATGCGTTGTTGTTGTTGTTGTTGTTGTTGTTGTTGTTGTTGTTTGTTGTTGTTGTTATCATTGTTGTTTTCGTTGGTCTGGTGCTGTTGTTGTTGTTGCCTCTGCCGCTTTCAACCACCTGATTTTCTCAGTGCGCTCAGTGTGGGAGCAGAGATTGCCTCCGTGGTCACGGGTCTGTCCCACATACCGAACGAGCAATGTGCCGCACAGGACTGTGGGTTGATGGCGCCAAACTCGACATGAAACGACCTCGAGAGGGGGGGAATCGAGCGCAGCAGGACGTGTTGCACATCCAACGTGACGACGGCACAGTACACCGGAAGGGAGACTTTTACACAAGACAAATTGAAACAACGCGGGGAGACTCTTACCTTCAAATAGAAGACATGAGACCAGATGGGATTTTACTCGCGAACGGAATGATGCGATAATCATTTGCGGGACCTCGAGAAGTACAACGTATGTCTTCTACTGGTGACACATTTAGTAAAGGGCTCGACAACCGTAGGTCAAAAGCAGGACCTACGGTATCATATTTGTCAACGGTCCGAGTGCACAAGCACCGCCGCTCGCACGCTAGGTGTTCAGTTATGCGGGAGTTAGCTGTTCAGTTGTGCGGGAGTTAGCCATCACACACCCCGCATTCTCGAGGGCATACGCCGCGTGAAGGGGGGTGGTGCGCTGGATGAAAGTACGGCGTCTCACCGAATAGCATCATTCGGAAATCTTCGGGCTTGCACGTGCGCTTGAGCTTGTCGTCGTCCATCTTGGAGTACGTGGCCTTGAGGTTAGCTCGAAGCCCCTTGGGAGGCTCCTTCGTCATCTTAACTCCAGTCTGCTCAAATTGCGTGGGGGGGTTGTTGATGTGAATTGCCCAAAAGTGGCGAAAGCACCACACACAAATGTCGACGCGTGCAAATTTTGCCGCAGTTCCTCCGTTCGAACGTACAGCATGAGTTCAAAGGACCAGCCCGGCATCGAACTCTTCTTCACGCCCACATATTGGGTGGTGGTTAGCAACCCCGTTCGAAGGGTCTATCTGTCGCTTTCGTCCTTTTGAACACGGGGGGTGCTTTGCCTAATGCTTGGCATGAGTTAATGCGCTGACTGCGTACATACCTGCAAGATCGCTGTCGGGAAGAACTTGCTAGGCATGGACGTAAGCCACAGCCGGAAATCCTGGTGGGTCTGCGTCGGACTGATCTCCTCGCAAAGTCTCTCCAGCTCGGGCATCCAGGAAATGGAAAGGTGGCAGTTTTGGAGCAACACCCAGTTGCCCTCTGACACTCCCTGGAGATAGTTTGTGGGTTAATTGGAAGTTGATCGGAAGAGAGCACCAAAGTAATCTGACAACGATGGCTCTAATGGATCGGGTTACTTCGCCCGAAAGAGAATACACCGTTTCTTCTCTCGCACCTTTTCAATCATCGCCGCAGCGATCCCTCCCTGCCCCTGCCCCAGGGCAATACTTCTCATCTTGTCCGTCATTCCCATGTCCTCCGCCAGCTGAAACAAGTCCTGTGGTGCATGGTTGTTGGTGAAGTGGTTGATTTCGGTTGTTCGTGGATCGGATATTCATGTTATACCCTTCGTCGGTTGAAACAGTGGACACGAGGAGAACAAGCAGCAGGTTTCATACCCGACCGCAGAGGTTGAGCAACTGCGGAGACGACGTTCAACCGTGGAAGTCATGAGGTTTCTCGTTTCACACCACAACCATGATTTTTGTGTAACACTGCAACCGTGCCATGTGACACATACGCCACGTTTCGACGCACACTGACACGAACGCAGCGTCCCTATACGCTGCAACAATACCCCTGGGGGTGAATGTGATTTTGTAAAGGCCCTTCTTCGGACCTTGTTAGGATCCGAGCCCGTGCTGAGTACGAAGATGAGCGGCATGGTAACCGAGGAATCCTCGTAGCAACCCTTCAGGTCGAAGGTCGGGGGCTCGACGAAAAAGGGACCCATGACGTCGACCACGAAGGCTTGCATTGCTTCCGTCATCTTGTCCCTTCGAAGACACCTGCCCGCCGTGTGCGGAAAGAATAAAAGGTAGACGAGGAGGGGGTATCGCGGTTAGTGTCGTCCTCTCACGAGTCACAGCAGTCACCATGCCCCCACCCTCCTTTCTGGAATTTTTACGCCGGTGTTCACCGTCACCCAGGCATGTACTCCACCTACTCTCCAAGAGGCAAGCAAGCTTTTGGTTCACCGATACTATAAGAACGAGCGCAGGCCTCCCGTTCACTTATCCTGTAAAAAGGAACGATGAGGTAATGCTAACCCCCTCGTCGGCCGTACCTATTGAGGCAGTCCTCACCTGAGGATGCACATTCTACGCAGCCATCCCTCTACGTCCTTCTCCGGGTAGCTCCCAACGCCGAAGATGGCCGATCCCGCCTTCCTCGGCAGCTCGTGCGATGGGGCCGGGAACGTCGCAGCGTGCGGCTCGTTCGAGTCAAATACTCTGGTTCCGCGATTTGAGAAAGCAAGGGCCGCGGAAGAAAGTCAAGGCTGTAAATTACATGAAGCTCGTTCGAGTCAAACACTCTGGTGCCGCGATTGACAAAAGCAAAAGTGCAAGTCAGTACTGCTGTACACTACATGCAGAGACGACAGGATGGGGTAGCATAGTTGTACACTGGAGCAATCATGGGTTATATCGTGGTCGGTATGGAAAGGAAAATAGACAGGGGAGATCCATTCCATCGGGCAACTTTTATTTCCAACAGCTCAGAACTGCCATATGCTACATGCGCCACTACTACGTACGTTGTTCCGACGTCGGAATAACTACTTACAATAGAAGAGGATGAAATTAAAACTTCAGTCACACGCTTGTGCAGAGGGGTTTTCTCCACTTTCAGGGTCCACAGAAAAATGGCAAACAATGTGAAGAAACATGCGCACGTTTGAGCACAAGACGAGACGAGATTCGAACCTCTCAGAAGATGGCTCGTGCGCGAGAAACGTACACTAATTTTCATAGCAGCGACACTATCCACAACGGAGCATTGAAAGTCCTACGCAATGAGTACAACAATCCAACGCGGGTTCCACGATCAAATGCCGGGCTAGCACCTTCTCCAAGTCACCGTTCTTTGCGCGAACACCGCCGCGAACTCCTTGAAGTACTGGATCCCGCAGAGGGCCTTGACCTCCCCCCACACGTTCACCTCGATCCAGGAGGGGTCCGGGTTGTCCATAGACGACTGCCCCGGGGACATCCCGGAGATGAGGAAACGCCACTCGGTAGGATCTATTCGGTCGTCTCCCTAGGAGAAAAAGGCAATCGAGGAAGGGGTTAGTTGCGCATAACCACCGTCCGCACCAAGAGAGGCCAGGGGGGAAGCAACAAAAACAACCGATCGATGAGAAACCTGTCAACTTGACCGCGATTGCTGCGAGGTGCGAGCTTGAAAGCGCCAGCACGACGCATGGCAATAATCCAATCTCTCGAATCCTTCTTCGTGTGGTGATACAGCCACGTGTTCGTGGTCGTAGCCCTTTACCTGCAAGATCTTGATTGCCAGCAGGAAGCTGAAGAGCAGCTTGTGCGCCTCGAACAAGCTCCTGCACACGTTCACGTACACCGCCGCCGTGAAGCAGTCGTTCAGGCTGCGCAGCCGCCCCTCGAGGTCAGGGGCAGGCGGAGCCTGCCCGATAGACTTGCAGAACAATGCACTGAACCACGGCAGGGCGTACTGGTACATTGGATCGATCTGCATGCAGCCGTAGGTTCGGGCAGCGGACTAGTTAAACATTTGTTCGTCAAAGATGGGATATGCTGGAGGCGAAGGGGGATACACGGCCTCTAGCTGGAGTGCCCGTGTGAAGGACTCGAGAAATGACGGACTTGGTCGCCACAGCCGTTCGATCTGGGAAGCAAGATCATCTGGCGATCGAGAAAACCCAGTCCAAGAACGGACACATGCTTCGACGTGCTCACGTCAGGTGTACGTGGCTGAGCCGTACTCTCAGTACCGAAAATCAACGAGTATGCGGTGTATGGTACCTAGTGAGTCCGAACGTGTTCTCATTAAAAAAAATGAAGTCGTGTTGTGGACATCTGTGAGAACGCCAACACTCTTCAGAACCAACCAACCACCCCGAACTCCAAAGCTCGTAAAGCACAGGTCGGTCGAGGTAGTTAGGTTGGTGGAAGCTATTTTACCACGCATGCGGCCGAACAAAGCATGGAGGAACGTCTGGACAACTCCAAAAATCTCTCACCACCGCGAGATCCGCCAAGCAGAAGTAGAGGAGACTGGCTCGTTTAGCAACCGGTCGGTACTCGTTGGATCTCGCCTCTATCTCCTTTTCCGTCTCTTCCGCTTCGCCCATCTTCTCCTTGATCTCACTCGATTTCACCTACATGCGCAAGGTACGATGCCGGGTTTAACCAATAGAGGCTCCTCCAATCTGAACGTCTGTGTGACGACCGTACTCCCACGCTCGAACATACACGGAAGAATAAAGTTTGACAGAAGCTTGTGGCGTCTGTAGCCCATAACGCCGAGAATTGTCCTGACAACCGTAAGCTCTCGTCTTGACAGTAACATACTTAGGTCAAAGAGAACGCCCAACTGCACTAGCCACCGTTCTGAAAAAAAAAACACCTGTGAACGCCTAGGTTGAACGCTTCCCAGCAGGTGTGCGAAGAACACTTGCGTAGCATGGGTAACGAGGTGTCCACGCCGAACTAAAGAGCACTCAGAATAATCAAGAGAACCGGAAATGATTTGCCTCCGTTAACGGTGCAGATGACTTGTTTTTACCCTCAAGCAATCGTTTCGGCACATTGTGATCGCCGCCGTCGGACCAATTATTTCACGCACCTTGGCCTCCGCTAAGGTTTCGATGAGAGCCGTGTTGTCGAGGATGTTTCCTTCGCTCTCGCTCAAGAGCTTAAGGATCTGGCTCTCGATTCCGTACAATTCGATGTTCATGGCCGCACCGTTGATGACCAGCTCTTCCTGGAAATCAACGAAACGTTCGGGATTCGCAGTAGCCCTTGTGAACAGCGTGAGTCTGTCTGAAGCAAACTGTAGCGTGCCGAAGCGCAGCGCAACAACGTCCTTTCTAAACATTTGGGGATGTCACGTGTCCCATACCCCCCCCCTATTTTTTTTTGTATGGATTCTTTGCTTCGGATACATTACTGTCAACACGTCCCCTGCACTGCCGGCACAGCCTACGGACACATTCAAGAAACACGAACGATCGATGATGATGAAGTACCTTCTTCTGGGCAAGGTCCGGGAGTTCCTCCTTCACGGCGGTGTTGAGAAGTTGTTCTTCCAGGCCCTTGATGGTGATCGTAAAGTTCAGCAAGGACACTTTCACCTGCAAGACGTGAGATGAGCCTGGTTGTTATTTTTCTTGCAGTCCCATTTCCAGACCCTGGCGGTGTTCGTAAAGCTCATGTTGGGCCGTTTCGTTCGAGGCGGCGCCACCAACAAGCTAAGCAAAGGACCGATAAGATTTGGTGTTGACAAGGTTGCGCTCTGTGCGTGACCCGGTGCTATAGGAGCCGATCCACACGCCTTTTGAACTGTAGATGGCTGCTCCTGAGATTTGCCGTCTTCCGAATAAATGAAGCCTTTTCTTTCTCACAACAACCAACCAAGAAATTCCAAGAGATTTCATGCACGAACGCTGGTCCGCGGTAGGGGGCGATAGTAGCGTTTCCCTTGACGCGACGCAACAGCAAGAAGCTACTTTATCGTGATTCTGATGACCCGATCAACGGACGCTGTCGAACTATTTCGCACGTCATTAAACATCTGCACCCAACAGATAAAATGCACCACAGCGAAACCTACCTGCACTTCTGGGGCGTACTCCGGGTTGGGCAGCTTGGTGATCATCAGTAGCCGGAACTGATCGTTGTACGGCACTGTGTTGTCGCCCAGTCTGATCATGTCTTGACCACCCTGCTTGAACTTTTGCTGCAACAGGATAGGCTCAAGGGCCGCATCCAGTTCCTGTTTCAACACGGACCGGGCGGCAAAATATGGTGATGACAAATCAATTTGACTGAGAGGAGGAGGTGGAGGTCCCCTTGTTACGTACCAGGTAGCACATTGAGTTCACAACTGCTACTCAGAGTTTGGCTTATTTTGCTTGTATTTGCTTCAACATCGCGAGCATTGTTCATGGGGAGCGGAAGGAGGGAACATCGAAAGAAGGACCCCAGTGCATAAAAAAATGTGAAACGATTTCAACCTCGCATTGACCGGTAGACAATACGTGCGACGATATGCAAAATAGCCACGTCAAACCATGGTCTTTGGGTGCGTGCCGTTGAGGCGTTAGCTCAGCAGGTCATGGCCTCAGGTATGCCATGTAGGACACGTTCAACATCTAATTGAGTGAATCTGGTGGGTGTCAATCGCGATCCTCTTCGACTTACGATCATAGACCAATTTCATGTACATGGCGAGAGTGGCAACGTAGGCACCCTCCCCCCCCACTCTCTCTCAGACGTACCTCCCCGATGTTTTCCAGCAGCACCCACTTTCCGAAGCGCACGCCGTTCTCCAGAATCTGCAATACCTTCTTTTGCGTCAACTTTGCCACGTCCATGCCGTTTGGGCACAGCGTTGTGTCTTTACCCAGGTTCTTCACAAACCTGAACATTGAAGCATAAACATGCATACATTCGGTTCGAGTATTCAGAGACATCAGAAACAGGGAGACCGTCTGTGATTTTTCGTTTGGGGTGTCATCACTCAGATCCCTTAGAATTGTCGGCGAATGTATTGTACATGTCAGCACAACCTCGAAATATAATTCAGTCCAGAATCAGCACTTATGGAACCAAGGAAACATAATATTATTTCGTGCTTGAGTCTTGGTAGCAAATTTCATCGCCACATCGCCAGTGTGCCTCCTGCGTTGCCCAATTTCTTTGAACGCCGAGACCTTCTGGTTTGAAGTCATACAAAGTTATTCGTCCGTGCTGCTAGCCTTTGTATTTGGCAGAACAACTGTTAAGAATGATCTTCTCCGTTGTGAAATTACGAAAATATATATCGCTTTCTACAGTGTTGGTTCGAGGCCGAAACAAAGAAGTTTCACGTCGCTGAAAGTCGCGATCGCGACAAAGCCGCCCGAAGCGTTGGTGTCATTTCTTTCAACGGGAATTGGTGCTCCTCGGCCCCTTGAACGGCAGGCAAGAAGACAAAAGAGCTTTGATACACGAGGATCAGACGAACAATCACGAGCCGGTCGTCTCTGAAGCGGCTGGCACGCACAGCACAATCAACCAATGGTGAACGCGACAACGACGCAGTCCTGCAGTCCTGACCTGTTGGCCTGTCCTTGTGGGTCGATTAACAGAGGCCATCGCCTAGCCGTGTCCATGATAATGCCGTTCTGCGAAGACAGCGAGTCTGGGGGAAGCCCGCACATCTGACAGGAAAGACACGAGGGGCATGGTCGTCGGGAAGCAAAGGGTTCGCCGTCTAAAGATACGCATGCTTCAAACGCGTTCATAAATTCTTGAGGGACTCCAAACCACATCTTGACGGCGAATTTCCTTCTACGCTCGTGAGTTCGTAAATCGGATTTGCCACGATGTGGAGTTCCATAATTTTCTTCTCTGAATCATTACAAGGTAGACCTCGTGTATCACCCCCTCCCCCCCCTAGCATGTGAAATGCAGCCTCACTCAACGTCTCACCTGCCATTGTCGTATTTTGACAGGGTCCGCAAGGGTGCCCTCCATGTCCGTGCCCTCTGTGTGGTCCAAACCTTTCTCCACAAGGGCCTGCAAAGTTTGAATCCGTGATGGGGGTCAAGGAGTAGGCGTTGAGGGAACAGGTCGGGTAGGAATGGAGGTTTAAACCTGCTCAAAGAGTGTGTTGTGGGGTGATTGAATAATGAAAACTAGACAACGAGAAGAGGATACCTCGACTACTTCGGGTGATGTGTATCATGTGTTTCGCGCGAATCGTGGAGCTCGAGGAAACAAGTTGTACACCAGGTTTATGAAAATGTCTCCGTTAGAATAACACGTCGTCATCCGTCCGCACAGAGATGCAAATCGAGTCGACGTGGGTTTCAAGAAAGTCTTCCAGACGACGGCACTAACACTGTCTAGGTTAATTTTTTTGGGTATTTCACATTTCTGCCTATTCATGGCGTCAAGATCAGCCCTTCGTGTTCATCCGGAGGAGCATGCAGTTGTGCCTGAGAATATATTTGAATATGCCATGAGTTTCCAGCATAAGTTTCATGAGTTTGTTGTGATACTTTTTCCACGTCATTCTTGGGTGGTGTTCCAAGCTCTATTTGCACTAGGGTTTGGTGGGCGACGTTCGATCCCTGCCAATTCGACACTAGCAGTTCTTCTCGCCAAGAATCACTCGTCAAAGTTGGTGAGTAAAAGACACAGCATCGTGATGTCGTTCAATTCCAAGTTGCAGAACAAGTAGTACTTGCTTTAGGCCGTTCGACCTGTAGGCATGCCAAAACGCTGGCACATCGATTCCAACGCAGACCGGCAAGTATACGCACCTGAACCCAGCCGTCGGCGATGCGCGCGCGGTACTCCGCTGTGAATGGCCCGAGGTAGGACAGAGTGCCAGACGCGATGACGACATCGCCTGGGAATACATTGCATCCAAAAGCAGAGCTTGGGGTAAGAAACGGTGAGCATCAAGCGGGTTTTCTGTCGATCGACAAGAGGCCAAAGAAAATCTACAACCCCGCTTGGTTTGTGTTGCCCCCGGTACGGGTCTCCCTCTGTTTGCTTAAGAGAACGCCAGTTTGACAGTGAGATGGAAGGTATCGCAACAAAAAAAACGAACCAGTAAGAGTGCCAACGGATTCCTGCGTAGCACTCATTTCCTTATGCAGCTTTGAGCATACCGGTATTTCACAAGGTGCTCATACACGACATGCAATATGCTTTTCGTTTAATATTAGCATAGAATTCGGAAGGCGGGAACAAGTACCGAGATAAATGTGCAACCTGTTACATACATACAATATTTAGGCCGAAGAGGGATGTTTTTGGTAACCGGCAAAACCTGAAGAAAAAGTAGACAATGTGGTTCTTTCCCCACCCACCGGGTAGCTTGTCCATGGCAAGGGTCAGCGTTGCCACTGTGTCCTTCCAACGTTTCTCCTCCCCACCCAACCCTCCGATCAGCTTCTCCGCGTTGGAGAGCTGTACAACGCACCGCTCGGCCTTCTGCTCCAGTTCCTGTTGAACCATGCCAACGATTGAACCGGCGATCAGCAATCGGTAGACGGGATAGGTCGACATGGTAGAGGGGATAGGTCGACATGGCGCTTGCCGCAAACCAATCACCTCGATTCTCGCACTTCTTTTCCATTATTGCGCACGACAAATAACAGCGATACAGTATAAGTTCCGAATTCTTCCGTTCACAATATTGCCAACTTGTTCGGTCTTCGACAACAACTTTTCTATCATCTACGGGAATGGTAGCCACAACGACAGATAGGGCACAGAACACGGGGAGACTCGAACGTATTGTATAACACGCCATTGCCAAGATGGCGGAGCTTGAGAGTTCCCACTAGTCATACCGACGTATACCGAAAAGCTGAAATTTGAACGTCGATTTGGTATGTATGCTGTGGACGGCAGTACCCCAAGCTCCGTCGACACGTTCATGGAATTTCGACCGGGTCATCTTTTGGTCCATCTCATTGCCCATCCATGTAGCCGAACCCCTTCCGACACTCCACGAGGAGTTTCTCTACTTGAGCCCTGGAACATCGTAGCAGGTGGCTCACGCAAAGATGATACCCCAATGCACCATTTCTAGCCTCACTCATGTCGTATGGACAGCGCATGGGGGACTGCAAACCTGTTTCTTTGCCACCGCGTCGTCGAAGCCCTTCTGCAACTCCGCGAGTCGTTTTTGCACCCCCGCTAGCCTAGCCTTAGCGTCCTTGAGCTGCGCCATTACGATGTCGAGGCCCTCTTGCGCCTCTGCAAGGGCGGCTCGCTGGCGAAGTTCGACGGCAACAATTGCTGAGAAGGTCAGTGATGTATTATCTCGTGCCAGAGAGCGAGTGCCCGACGTTTGAAGCGTGGCTACACCATCGCCTGGGACAAACCTCGAGGGACACGCATCTCCCGGGAGGGTGACATGAAGCCGTGGGGAGATCCTGATATTCCTCGAGACGCGGACATGGTTGGTATCTCTGTTTGCAACTAGGTACGGAACGTGCACGAACACACTGGTCCGGTCCCTCGAGGCAATTTGTTACGAATTTAGGCTTCGTGGTTCGATGTTCTCCTTGTTTATGACTTTGAAGAAGTTGTCTCTGAACCTTGAACAGGGTGCGTGAGCTCTGTGTTCTACCCCCACTCAAGGACTGTCGTCGCGTAAGCACAAAGCGTCCTAGACCGGGCTATTTGAGACGTGCAATACGGTCGCCGCTGTTTCTACCTTCAGAGCACAACTAATAAGGGCGATTGGACCGAAACATGGCATGCAACCAAACAGCCCAAAACACTTTAGCGAACATTGGCCTATAGTCTTGTTCCAGCGATGCTCTTGTGCTGTATAATCTCTTCTGTATGGTGCTAGTATTGGCGCCACCATATAATTCAGGCGCATTGTATGCAATGTGTTCTGTTTACGTCATCATCACGCTACGTTCTTTGGGTGCAAAATGTATCGGTACCTTTCCTTGGCAACCACCTCCGGCTGTGCTTAACCGCGCGACACGCGAATCAATGGCCAGCACCAACAGTCGAAAGCATTAGTAAAGCTGCGTACCTTTGGTGCTACTCCCAGCGCCACGAAGTGATACTGGTACATGGCGAGGGCCCACATGCAGATAGCCGTGCAGGCTTTGGAAGCCTTCTCGATCTGCTCCGGCGTGAAGTCCGGGTTGTTGTTAAATGGTTCCACCTGAAGGACGAAGCATGCAGACATCGACCTCAGAGATAGTCAGGCAGGATGCGGCCACTGCGTTCAGCCAATAATGTTATAGGTAGGATGCGGCTTCTGGGTTCAGCCAAATGATGTTATCCCTTGAAACGGACGTGAGACGACCTAAACATGACAAAACAGCGGTGACAACAGCTGCGGTACCTTCTTGATGATCCTGTCGGGGATGTTGTCCTTGTCGAACTTGACGAGGGAGTCCATGAACCCCTTGGCGTCCGCCAGCAGCTGCTTCTTCGCAGGCTCCCAGAAGTCGTCCACCTTGAAATAGACACCATGGCAAAAACGAGAACAACAACAATGTTGTCCCCGTCAGAACCAAAAGTGCTCTCGAGTCTTCATCCATCCTCATGATTCGAAACCCTTCGCACCTACTACAACATGTGATCGCATAATACCCTTGACGGAACAAAAAGCTCTTCGGTTTCAGTAACAGTTTGTTCGCCCCAAACTGCTGTGCTGTTATTGGCCATCTGTGCCCATGCCTGTACAAGTAAAGTGACTCGGTGATGGTTTCAGCAACAGGTCGACGGGGATGCGAAGTACGACGTCCCTCAAAACCAGAAAAGAAAACAACAGTTGGTGCCGCGGCTCCGATATTCCCGCACCTTCTTGCCGCTGTCAGGGTCTTTGACCTTGTTGGGCTTGACATCGAACATGATGCAACACACCTCCATTGTCAGTTTCACGCCCTTTGGGGGTGTTTTAAGACTCTTCACCTGTGCATTTGCGCGCCAAAGGAGTCGACACAGGGAGGAGAATGTGCAAAGACGAAGAGAATATCGCATGAGTCGAAATTATTGCTGTGGCTTTTTGCTGCTACTGCTGCCTCCAGTTTACCGACCATACCTCGGCGACCCCATGTTGAGATATTGGGACATTCCACCCGAACAAATCACCACGCGTTTCCCACGCCTGGTACACAAAAATCGGAAGCCGACCCGAAGAAATCTGACCTCCAAAATGCAGGGCGAAGCACGTGCACACGCGTGTGCGCGGTCGACACGCTCATTCTCGCCCTGAGTGATGCTACGGTCGGGGGTGTACTTTTGGGGTGAAATCATACTCTATTGGGAGCAAATGCGTATGATCTTACGACGATTTAGGATGCGGTCATCAGGGCCCGTCAACCCCCACGTTGCCTCCGGGGTACACCCTTAGCCCCTAATATGACGAGGATCACGAGATCGTTGTACCCAACAGGTTTGAGCAGAGTTTTGTCTTCCTGTACCCAAAAGTTGAAGATGAGTTGACCCCCCCTACCGTGCATCACTCCTCTACCTCGTCAATGTCCGCCTTCTTGAGGGAGTTGAGGCACGCCACGGCCGACTCTAGAGCGGGGAGAGCCAGATCAAGGTCCCTTTGAGCGTCGTCGGCGATCGCTTTCGTCGCGGCGGCCTGCAAGCAAGCATCCATGATTGGGAGAAGCAAACGTGAGCTTCAGCCGAAGAACGGGAAGCAAGCGTACCGCAGGTTGCATTAGATACTTCACCCCGTGGATCGGATTTCAGCATGATTATTCTGCAGCAAGAACTGCAACGGGGCCGAATATGGCGGCGTTGGAACTGCCTCGTCGAGATCTTTCCGAAAATGCAAAAATTTTACTGTGGCATCCCCTTCGTCGTGGAGTAGCCGGGCTTGAACTTCGGTCCAGGGGGTGTGATATCTTATGCAACCTACGGTAGGTCGTTCGGGCGAAGAGCTGCGCAATGTCTGAATCACGATCCCCCCGAGGATAACCGCTTCCTTGGATACTTATCCGCATGTTTGTAATAAGCATCAACTTGAGATCTTCATCGTGTTTTGCGCAAGGATCCAAGGATAGACACTAGACACATTCGAGAAGTCTCTCCGAAATGTATTTGCGGTACCTGTGGATCCTGAGCAAGGCGTTCAAGATTCTATGCACATGTTCTTTCGTTGTTGTCGTGTGCCCTGGTCTGCTATTCCACGCCCCTGCCCGAACGAAAGAATGGAAGCAATGGACTACCGTACGCCCTTTTTCGCCATCTCCCCCGATCGACTCTCATCACATCCGATTGCGGGCTGGCGATACTGTAGGGAGAGGGTCTCCAAAAACGTGTCTTCTCCAAGGAGGGATATACAGCTTTCTCAAAGAGTGAGCTTGGTTCATTGGATCTGTTCTACCTTCTCGTTGGCCGTCGCTTCTTCAGCCTCAACCTTGACCCTGACTACCTCGGCTTCCTCCTTGTCGGAGTTGATTTGGACCATCATGTCTTCGACCTAGCACGCAGAGATTGAGAGACGATTCGGCAGGTCAGTTATGTCGTCTTGGTCCAATGGTCGATGTTCCCGAGAACAACCAAACAAACGAAATGAGCGGAGAATATAGCCCGTCACACAGAAAGTCTTCACCTTAAAGCCCTCAACACTACCTCAAAGCGAATTTCCTTGAACCGCACGCAATAGACAGACCTTCGAAGGCAGAATGCTCTAATAGACCTGTTGGACTCAAAAACAGATCAATCAAAGACGTTATGTAGCTGAACAGGGCAACCCTGCAACTAACTAAGGAACCTACGACATATTCGGAAACTTCTTTGTGAGCATTAACCGTCGTCGAAATAGACACTATCTCCCGCGATAAGGTACGCGGGAATCGGTATACTCTCCGTTCCTTGCAGTAGCAGCCCACATCTTACGTTTCCGCTCAACCGGGGTTGTACACATGCCCGTAGCACACAATTTTGCCGATCTCGTGTGTATACTGCGTGCTGTACGGACGTTGGCTTATGCTGAGTGTGGCTTTCTAGTTGGGGGGGCGGACGTATTCGTCGATGATATGGCCGGGTAGGGAAGGATCACCTCTTTCATGGTCTTGACTAGCTGCGGCTGCAAGACGGTGAGCTCCTCTTGCAATGTTGCCACGACTTCCTTGGTGCTGCTCAGCTTGTCTAGGCCCACCTGTTTGAGTAGCACGCGCAATCATTTCTGAGGCAAGATCTCGCCATCTCTACAATCACAAGGACAGCGGGTGTGCTCGGAGTTACTCCGGTAGGCAAGAGTTGAGCATCTCCACTTCGACCACACGCAAACAATACTTTGGTGCGAAAAGCAAAGCCTGAAGAGGAACGAGACTAAGAGCAGAAGAGGTGCCAATGCGAAGCATGTGCACCCAGCTTGTTGGTGTAGTTTCCTACAACAATGATTTCAGTTTCAGAGCCGAGGACAACAGGTAGTTCTCGATATTTTCTCGAGAACCACACACTATCCTCACATCATTGGAACGAAACACTTGTTGAAGAGAGCACACGGCACTCTCCCGCACGCACTAACGGCGGGTGGTGTTACACGAAAATGTATGCGATTGGACTCCGCACACAACAGACGAACCTGGAGGCGCGATCGATTCCTCCCGACTTCTTCGCGCTTTTTGGTGAGCTGTCTCTTGAAAGAACCCAGCAGCTCCAAGTAGCTCATCGGCGTGACCCAGACTCGCCTCCTCAAGAACTCGTAGAACTCCTTGCCGACTGTTTCTACCGACTGGTGCACAACCCTGCACCCATTGGTTGCACCAGACAGGTAGAGTTCGGGCGGGGTGGGTTTGAGCGCGGGGTAACCAAAGGGCATTGTGTTATTAACTTGGATTGGAACCTACGAATGACGCATCCTCAAGTATCGACAGCAGCTGTTGGCGTCCACCGATTGATTTTGTCGCTAACAACGACAGCTGTCAAAACGTCTAGATACGTCACCTGAACATCTCAACAATCCCTTCCAAAGCACCCCCGAGCTCGAGGTCAGTTGCTGTCATCATTGCCATTGCGACACCCTTGAGTGCTTCCGCCGGCCACTCCGTGAACCAGTCTGTCGTCGGTGGCCACGACGGAAACGCGTTTCATGGGTGGTATTAGCGACGGATCAGAGAAGAACAAACTAGCATTGACACGTTTGCAAGTGCACACAACAGAGAATATGATGGAAGACTATGTGTTCAATGTTGCTAGGCTTGAAGTACCTGGTAGCTTGTTGCAGTACATAGAAACGTTTATGGGTGATGTTCCGGATAAACCAGGGCAAGCGAGAGCCTAGAGTAGGGCTCGTTGTAGTCCCATCGTCTTTAGTGATGCCGACGCCAATCACGCTCACCAGGTTTCTTACAATAGCTGGTACATCGATTGACTTTTTGCAGCACGAACTGTTCTGTGGTTGTTCCCGGGGTTTGGTGCAAGAGTGCCAGCAACAGAAGAAAACGTTCGGCCCTACAACGGCAATGCTTTCATGTGTGTTGAGCTTTCACACAAGCTCTAATCGCACCGTCTCCTCTTCCACCTTGTCCGTTCCTCTCTGCCTTTTCGCATCTCAGATACTTCAACAGCGAGCGTTCCGCAGGAACTTGTGCGAAAAATTAACAGGGGCTCACTTCGAAGGCCCAATCACGCCAAAAGGTGCGAGTTTCTTCTTACCAATAGTGCAACAATTGACAAGCGAGGGAAACATCCTCAGCCTGTCCCTGAACGCGGACCCGATGGGTGACATGCATATGACGAGGTGGATGCACGAGCGCACCCTCGTCACGTACTGGGCGAAGATGTTGACCTTCGTGGGAGGGATCCGCTTCCTCTGGCAGTCCACCCTAGACGGCAAAGCGAGGGGGGGTCGTGCAGGGGGCCGACCCGAAATAAAGTATGCGGGTTTTACGGCACAATAAATATCTTTACGTAGAAAAGAAGGCACGGTGGGGTGACGGAAACGAGTACACTAATGTTGAGCGTTCTTCCATAATGTGGTGGTGCTGAACACGTAACAAGGGTGGGGGGAAAGAACAATCACTTGCAACATGTTGAGCTTTGCCGGAGATGAACTACCATTTCCTATGGCAATCTTCGATCCGACAAGAGGTTTCGGGGGGGGAAGGCATGTAAACCCTGATGTTTCGAGGGATTTGCCGTCACGCGCAAGGCACGATTGTGCAGCAGTGGCTGGTGTCCCACGACGTGTGGAGGACAACATTATTTCAGACTGCAACGGAACGTCCGGGAGGCGACGTGCCGGGGATGATCATGAAAGACATCATGAAAACAAGATGAACGCATAGAACTTCTTCTATCTCCATTTCGCAGCGTAGTATGTTCGCTAAAAGCTCCGTCAGAGGGCTGGGGGGATAACCTGGAAGGGTGCTTGTGTGTGAACCACGACTAGCTTGATGTAACCGTATACCATACGGGTGACCTACTCTTAGGATCGCCCTCACCTACAGGTGGACATGATGGCATCGAGGTCTTCGGGGGCATACAGGTTCGGGACGTCTCCGGCGTTCAAGATGTTGTTGATGTCCTCCAGCATGACCTCGTTTACGATCTGCACATCACTGTCTCGTTGGGAGAGTGTGATACGGTGTCGGGGGCGGCGCCAGAATGCAACGGGTGGGCGGAAGTCGCAAGAATTGCAGGGGTCAGGAGCAATTCGTGGACGTTGTGCCGGAGGTTTTGGGACATTATAGCACTCACAGCTAATCGTGGTCGGCTGGCCACGATCTCGGTACTAAAGCTTGCACCCGACCCGGCAACAGCAGGTGTCCTGTGAACCGAACGGAAAATTGGTTTCTGGGGCCTGGAGCAGGGTCACAGGCAGGTGAAATACGTCTCGGCCTGTCTTTTGGAACCTCTTGACCAATCATCCACCGGCGCGAAAAGAGCGCTTTCGTAATTGCTGGCACAGTTGTCCAGACCATAGAACGAAGGATGTTACCTGCACACACATGGCACGGATGTGAAACCAAATATAAATATCTATCCCCACGATGTCAACAGAACCCTGAAATCGGGTGCACCCGTTTTTCGAAATCCCTTCAAGGCAGTTATGATCCAGACTCAACCGTAAACAACGCCCTCTCCCTGGAGGACCTCGTTCTTCTAGAACTCTCCCCCTGCGATAACTCACCTGAAGAGGAATGTAGTGGGCTTGTTCTTTAGTCCGGCTCCGAGGAGGCACCTCCTAACATCATCCCTCCAGTCCGAAACGGCGTATCCTTTGCTGATCTCCACCTATCGCAAAAAAAAGTGGGAAAGACAATTGTGTTACTGCTGTCATCGTTGGCAGAAGAGGTCGGAATTCTTCGGGTGACTGCCAAGTCGTTGCACTTGCTGCACTTGCTGCTGGCAGTGACTTTGGAACCGCGTCAGAGCGATGATTCCCGGTGTGCGTCACCCGCGAACTCTGGGTTAGCTCTCAAGAACATGACTCCTCACAACAAAAATCCTCCACCCGCTAGCATTTGAGGCAAAATTAACAGGGTGGACGATACCAACAACGACCATACGCACCTTGAGACTCAACTCTCCATGCTCTCGCATTGCGGCCAAATAATAGCAATACACCAACAACGGCCACCAAAAGCAGGTTGACATTCAACATGCACCTGGAAGAGGTCGTATCCGGCGATGTAGGTGGCCAGCTTCGTCATCGACTGACGTCCGGAGCCGCCCACCCCCAAGAGCAGAGCGTTTCCCTGAGGCTGTCTCAGGATGCGGCTGACCCTCGAGACGTGCTCGATCGCGTCCAGAAACATGACGAGCGGCATCGGCTGCTTGGACTCCCCGTTGTGGTCCACGAGGTACTGGTTGATGGTCGACTGCGCCGTTGGGGAAAGCAAATTTCCCACCGAAACCAAGCGTACATCTGGAGTCAGGCATTTATACACTATACTTTTATTGCCGCACCTGTTTACGAGACCGATCGGCAAGATCCGTCCTGAATACACCGTGAACTGTTTATATACAACGAAGAGACACACAAGGCTGACAAACTTCTTCAAGACCAAGACTTTTTCGAGTCGTGATACTCGATGCATTTCCTGGCTCACCGTGAGCTTGTCCAAATCCGGGACCTCCTCGTAGACAGTGGGCTCGGCTCCCGGTATCATGTAGTCTCCGTAGATCAAGCGCTCCTGTAACGCCACACGGGAGGCGTGGGCATGGTCGAGAACTTCTTAACAGGAATCCCGCGGCCAGCTACTGGTGATTCCGTCTCACTTAGTTGTCTTTTTGCGTACACAAGGCAGGTAGGCTCCTTCGGAGGGAGATCTATCCCCTAGAGAACTTCGTCATGTCTGTTTTCTGCCGCGCACGAGAGAAGAAGTTGGTCGCACCTGGGGGACCACGTCGTGCCAATCCATCTGGAAGTTGTTGGTCACGATGCCCTTGAGGAGGTCCTTGAACCACGCGTGGTCCTCGGCGTTGATCAGCCGGTCCTCGAATACGCGCTTGCTCTCGTGGCACCACAGGCGGACCAGCATCTCCGGCGTCGTCACGGACTTGTAGCTGCTCATGAGCATACCTTTCCCAACGGATATGTAGTGTAGGGGTGCGAAAACCCTAAGGGGTTGATGTCTTTGCGCACTAAATGTAGAATACGGCGATAGCGTACAAGCAACGCTTGATCTCCCTCTCTGGCTCCTCTCGTGGCACTATCAAGAGAACATGCAGCACCTCCAGCATCGTCGTGGGCTTGTATGGCTATATATCCGCATGCCGTGTCAGGAGCAAGAAAGTAACGCGTTCCATTTCTGTGACGCTATTGAGACGTTGCTCTAAAACAAGGGACGGCAGTAGTCGAAAGTGATTCCCTTTTGCTGGAATCACACACGCGCACATACCCGAGTCCCACCTTGGAAAACCTTGGCCATGTCTCTAAGGTTGAAAGTGTAGTGGCTCTTTTGGGGCGTGGGGAGCAGCTCCCTCGTGATGGTGTTGAACACCTCGATCGTTGCGTCCACCACTGCAGAGGATAGCCTTGTTGACAGTAGGATCAGGCGGACGGCACAGCGAGGTGGCAAGGACGAAGCAAGTGCGCGACACCCCGTCAATTGCAAGACAAGTGCTTCACGATGGCTATACTGCCGCAAGCACCAGATGGGGAGGAGACTCTGCAGTATCATCGAGCGCCTGCTTATCAGGCCACTGCATTTGCACGAAAATAGCTTTGGCGCAGTTCTGCCCTTCTCTCTTTTTTTTTGGCACCTGGCTAAGGTCGTCTCGAAGCCGGTGGAGAGGAAATTGTCGAGGATGGTGCTGAAGATCACGCGCTTGTCGTCGTCCGACATGTCGACGTACCCGATTACATTGAAGTGCCGCACGAACCGCGGGGTTACGTGGGCCCTGAAGGAGCAGACGGCGTTTTGTGGTTAGTGCAATAATCAAAGAGATGTAATGAAGTCAGTAGTAAATGGAACGGACATCGATCCCTCGAGTACTGAATGTACGCGCATAGCGCAGCACAACAAAAGCACGACAGGGCCAGCAGGCATCGGTAGGACCGTGGCCCGTTTGGAGTACAGAATCGCAGTCGGAGAGGAAGTATTGCATACTACGTGGGATGTAGAATTCGGATATCGCGTTCAACACAAAAGTGTACGTGAGAGAAGGAGCTGCTAAGCATATTTTGCCGAGAAGGAATTGGAACGCAGCAAAGACAAACGATTCTGAAGTATCCGGGACCGGAGCTCTCGGATGGGTCATTTTAACGGCACGCGGAACAGCTGACAATTAGACCGATGTGGGTTGAACGAAACCAAGTTTTTCCAGTCAAAAATGGAAAACAGACCAAGAGATAATTGAAAACAGCGAGTGGGCTTTAGGACGAGTACACGTCCTTCGGTCGTACCGCCCGGTTTTGGATGACAGCGTTCCGAGAGCTGTACTGTTAAATCTGCAACGATCCTTTCACATGCAAACCTACCGTAACAAAGTGCTAAGGAGCGTGACAAGTTGGTGTGACAACTCCAAGGGGGCCAACTGCAAGGGTCCGATTCTTTGTCGAGGCAAATGGCCCTGACCTGCCGCCCCCGGGAGGGCCCATGGAACAAACCATGGTCACGTCGATGATTTTCCGGTAGGTCAGCTCTTTGCGGTCGTACCACCCGTCCTGGTCAAACCACTGCCGAAGGATCTCGATCGGTGGCTGAGCTCCATATTCCTCCCTGTGGTTCGTGAGTCAGTGGATGTGGTTGACTGTCAACAGTGCGACTCGTTTCAGGCAGCCTTTCCTACTCATTGTTGGTTCTTTCTTCGTCCTGCCTCACCTTGTTAACGCTGATGTGAAACAGCTAAAGCGTGTGTAAAGCACGGACAGACCTACCGAAATAGCAACCCTCGGGGGCATTGAGCAATGTACAGGAATACTTCGAGGACAGACAGGTTTAAACATTTTTCCGGTGAAGGAGCTTGACTCACTGTTTAGGCATGTTAAGGTCGTCTACGTGCACGACGAACTGCTTCCCGGCGGGGGGGCCGAAGACCCCTTTTCTTCGCTTCTCCATCTTGGCGTCCATCATATCCTGGGGATGGTGTTACGGGCGGGTGTAGCGATGGTTGGGTCAAGGTTTGGTCACAGTAACCCCATCATGATGTTTTTGTTTCGAGCGGCTGAAGAAACGCTACACCTCGTATACAACGAGTAATTCAAAATATCACTTGGTGTTTATACCAATTCGGTGGTTGTTTTTGAGTACCGATAGCTGCTGTGGTTTCTGATTGTTCCGCTTTACCTACAAAAGTTGAAAGGTAAACTCGGTACAGGTTTTTGCTTTTCCCTGATATGCCAGGTTAAGCACGGTCGACATACCTGGGTCATGTTGGCCGAAGTCTGCGCCGAGAAGGCGATGGTGAACGGAGACACCGAAGCATCCACACACCTAACATAACAATAGATTTGGTGGTTATGTGCAGAGGCAGGGGACATCAACGATGAAATCAAGTGACTGCGTTCTCCAAACTGTGGCAAAGGTTGGGTAGGTGGGGCAGTCCTTCAATATTTCGAAGGCACAGGCAAGTTGCTCAGGCGTGACGCAGCCAAAGTAGTCATTCAGTTGGATATTTTTTGCCGTGCGCACCTTCCACCGACAAACGATTGGCCCATGAGGTACTGCGCGATGTTGACGGTTTTTCCGGTCCCCGTGGGTCCACAAGTCAACACGTGTTTCCCTCCGCGGATCAAGAGGTCGAGCAAGAAGGTGTTGCGGACACCGTCAGTTGTGGGCACGATGATCTGGACGACAGCAAAGCAAACACCCGCCGGAGAGGGAGAGTGGGGGTATTTAGTCAGCAAGGGCATCGATCCCGCAAGGAAATAGGACCGAACAATTGGTTGGGAACACTCAGAAGTTTTCCGGCAGGTAGATGACTCTAGACCGAGTTGCAACTGTCTCAACTGTCTAATGTTTGAGCAATCATTTTCCCAGCAAGCGCGCACCTCGTTGAACTGAAGCTTGGGATCGACGGAGTAAGCCTCGGTTGTGGACATCCATGGGACCCACTCTCCCTTGTCGCCCTTCTCCGGCACGAAGACGTAGTCGTATACCTGTGCCGTGTGATCGGGCGTTTGCGTTGTGTTGGCTATTTTCTAGTTTGTCTGTTCATTTTCGGGGACTATGTGCGAAATACAATGGCAGGTGGTATCTCAAACGCAATGCACGCCCCGCGCTGTAGCGTACATGTTTGGTTGTCTCACCACCCAACTAAAAACGTGCCGTTCATCGTGTTTCCCTGTCAAGAGAAGCGCATTCAAATTCAGAGCCAAAGGGTCCTTCAACTCACGGTGCCCTCCTTGGGGAACAGCCAGGGGCTGGTGTTGCTGGCCGTTTCGCACTTGAGCCAGGCATCGAACTGCCTCCGCCCCGCTTGGTCGACGGTGCAGCCCACGCTCCAGACGAAGGCGAACAAGAATAGCGCTTCCACGTGGGTCACCAAAGCCTTGAGCGCCTGGAAATTCATCAACGGAGGGCTAGACTGTAGGTACTTTAGTTGCTCGAGACAGGACGATCTGACAAAATGTGACGTTGTTCACTTGAAACCACGCATCCAAAGCAACCGCGCGACTGGTGTATCACGCCATGAACTACGAAAGTCCTTGCTGGTGCAAATTCGGGTAGCCTCGGAGCCGGTACACACGCATATGGCACCTTAGGGCTCGGCGGTGCGGAGCCTTCAACCTCTTGAAACGGCTCCAGGAAGCAGTCTAGCAGTCGCATCAGGCTCTGAGCCAGGTTGTTGTCGACGGTCGGGACCACCTCTCGGCACCACTGCCGAACCCAAGCAATGCCTGATTAAGGATAGATTCAAACCGGGGCGGGGAGGGTTCCGGGGGTCATTGATTCGCTTGTACCAGGGTTGAGTCGTGGGTACGGGGTCCAGAAGAAAATCGCCGATCTCAAAATTCGGTTCGAGAAAGTCAATTTCTCGCCAAATCCGTTAAACGCGTTGTTTCGTCTATCAAGACCGGGCATCACCACCAAACGATCCCTGGAACATGGGGCACCTATGGAAGCGACCGGAAGTAAGCTCCCAATACACAATCTTCTCTCCGTAGGCTGGTGGAAGCTGTATTTCGGGGTCACACTCGGAGAGATTTTCGTTGCCACACAAAAAAACTGGTGAAATTGTTTGTGGTAAGTCAACGCACAAATAGTCACCGCGAAAGATGATCACCTGAGCTAAGGTACGTGTCGAAGAGAGCGGAAAACTGGATAATGATGTCCTGCGGAAGCGTGGACGGCAGGGTTGCGAGCCACGTCTGACAGAGCGCGTCTAGCCCCAGGCCTTTAGGCTCCATGTAGATGATTCCCACCCGAGATACGGTGGCCGGAGAGGCTACAGTGAGGTCTTCGACCTGGAGCAAACGCCATCGGGTCGTTGAAGATAATCGGAGTATGGTAACACGTCAACGCATGATCAACTCCACCTGGACAATGATCGATCGCGCGGACCCTAGAACATATTTTGTCGTTGTGTTTGGATGTCCTTGCACCTGCTGCCTTTGCCAACTAGGCTATGTGGGAGTGAATGAAATACAAGAGTTCAAAGGGTGTGATGACCCAACAGAACCTCACACGCATGAAACGGAAAGCGAGAAAATACTGATTCCAAAAACGCACTCACTCACCTCGAACATCATAGTCATTTCAGGAGACATCTTGATGATCTCCCCTGAATTCAGGCACAGCTGCAGTGAAGTAAGGATTCGAGCAACAGCGCGCAGGTGCAGATGGATAGAAAGAAGGCCGTAAGTTAAAAAAATAATGTTTTTGAATGCTTTTGTCAGGTGTTCTTTTTCGCGATCGTAGCGTATTTTATTGGCATCCTCTCCTGTTCTTGCGGAATAGACAAACCCATGCTAACCGTACGTCCCGTCAAAATAGTTTCCCATGTTGTGGGTAAAACCAATCCATATGTGGAGTTGACGTTTGAACAATTTACGTCGGTGGGTCCGAAAACCGAATTCGTTAGTTTCATGACTACCCCAACCTCAACCAACACAAGAAAATCACGTGACGATTATCATCAGATTGAACACTGCAGCAGCAAGCATTGCATTATGCTGAAGCCAATCAGCGAGCCACGCACACCTTCTTGTTGTCATCGAGAACGGTGTTCATGTTCTCGATCCAGATGGCATCGACTGGTCCGTCAAAGACAACCCACTTCCTGTCCGAAGTAGGGCTGGACGCTGCCAGCCTGAGCGACAATTATAGGAAACCCATCGTGTTGGGGGACACATGTAAAGTGAAGAAGTCGCCGAGGTGTCAACAGAAGATTATGCCCGTCGGTGGTTCTACTGTTTTCGGCCGACAGACTGAGAAAAATCTATGGGCGAACCACAACAGTTACAATATCGTGGGGAAGAGATAGTGTTCGAGAACAAAGCGGTGAAAGACAGATGTTCTGGTGTCGTCGGAGTTTGACGGCCAAATCGGGGGCTCTTCACGAAAGGAGAGAACGGGTTCAAAACGAAGTTGAACTGAGAACTGTGGAATACACCAAAATATCGGCGCTACTTTTCCTGTAGCTCTCTCACGTAAGTACCACTTGACATAGGTTTCAATACAGAGGCTTATGTCGTCATCAGGGATTATCACAACCAGTAAATAATTGCAGGAAATCGCTCCAGGAACTCCGCGGCACCTTGAGAAATGCTCACCATTCGACACGCAGAAAGCGTGATGCGGATGGAGGTGTGAAATCTTACACAAAGCCACACAGTCAATGAAGCCACTTTCTTCTCGGTTTTCACCTGTACATCGTGGACATGATTCCGTCCTGCCATTCGTGCGTGCTTGGGTCGAACTCGCCGTACATCTGTCCCATCGTGATGCTCTTTGGATTGAGCTGGTAGATGATAACCTTCTCGTAGCCGAAGCCCTAGGGGGGGAGTGATCGTGCCGTCAATGAAGAAAGCGGTGCAGGACGTAGAGAGTACGAAGGAGATGGTGACAACAGTCAGTTTCGAGAAGCAGGAAGGGTGTGTTTTCTCAAGGAGCAACTGGGCACGCAGAGACAGACACAGTCTACTAGCGACTTTTTGAGTGGTGGGGAATCGCACGGCACGGCAATCACCGCGAACTTTCTTTCCCGTACCTCTTTCCCCATTTTCTTCAAACGGGACAAAGTTTCCTCGAGAACGTGGAGGTTCGAAGACTTTCCTCCCCCCGTCGGCCCGACAAGCATGAGCCCGTGCCGCACAACGATCATCTCGTAAAGCTGTATGACCTGGTGGAGAGGTGGAAGGAGGACACGAGGGATAGGTACGGCGAACCGACACGGAAGAATTGAGAGGTATATACCATGTGCATGCAAAACCGAAACATACCTTTTTACCTTGAAGCCAGTTGTGGTTGGGGTCACGCTCAATTTTTACGCAATCTATTTGGGACGTTTGAGGCGTACCTGCAGTTGACGCTGTCATTAATCCGCGTCAGCCGCTGTAACTACATGCGCACACTGGGGTCACCTTTGTTGTGAAGAAGGGGTGCGGCTGCAAGCCCTTCGCCTGGATCACCAGCTTCATGACGCTGTTCAGGTCGCCGTAGTCCAGCACGGGTCGCTTTCTGCCCGGGAAGAGATCGGAGATGATGCCCTCGAAGAGCGGTAAGTCCATCTCCAGGAACTTGGGGAAGTTAACGTCCTGCGCGGCCGTGCCATGGGATATTGTTGGAAGAGAATAGTGTCACAGTCGAAAGGGGATGCGTTGAAGTCCTTGCAGTGAATGGGAGAAAGAACGCTTCGATAATCGGCTTGTTTTGAGCCACCTCAAGCCTATACACTGATGTTCACAGCCCTCTGTACCGTAGGGATCACGACTGCATATTCTGAAGGAATCACACAGCTTTTTGGCTGCGTGTGCATCAATCGTCGACATTTCGGAGTCGGTGCCCTACTATGACTGAACGGTATTCTCGTATCGGAGGCGACGGTCAGTTGGTTTTTTCTAACTACCAGTAGACGCGGGCATGATTCCCGTCCACACTCTGGTGGATGGGAAATTCGTCCACCAGGGGGAGCGCGGGGGGGTACAGCACACTCCCGATACCGAGAAGTACGGTCGTTTGTCGCTGCCATGAACACATTAGCCTTTCGTGTACTTTGACATTGTGTTGCACGACGCCACGGCTAGCTATAACGCTGGAGGCTTAAAAGGGGTTTGACATTGAAGGCAGCAGTCGTTTGTCGCTGCCATGAACACATTAGCCTTTCGTGTGCTTGACATTGTGTTGCACGACGCCACGGCTAGTTCTAACGCTGGAGCCAGAAAAGGGGTTTGACATTGAAGGCTTGTGCTCTGCGTAGCTTGTACCGCTGGGGACAAAACGAGAAAACCATAAAAACAACCCCCAACGACACGGGGAGAGTTCAGGAACAGCGGTGTGAATCGATTGTCCGTGGCGAAGTGTTTCTTGCCTGGAGAGCTCTCAGTAGGAGAACCATCTCATCGCCGTCGGGCTCCGCCTGCTTCAAGTTTCCGGCGGCCGTGATGACCGTCTTTACCGCTCGCATGCCGTAGTCGTAGTGAGGCTTTTCGGTTTCGGAGGGAGCGTAAGACAAGGAGAGGACGTCACGAAATGCTCTGACGCTAGTGGGATATACCAGGTGCTTCGTTTCCAGAAAAAATCTCCGAAAATCAGAAAGATGCTCGTATCAATCATAAACAAGTTATATTCAAGCGTTTCGGTCTCCGTGAAATCCGTGTTGTATGACAAAGGCTATTTTGGGTAGGGGCTCGTGGTGAAAGAGAAGTCTCCAGCGTAAACTATGCATATTTCGAAGTGAATGAGATTTGAGCATTTCGCTTGCCCAACAGTACAAAATAAGGAGTTTCACTTTTCCATCATGATCTTTGCACAATGAGGTGCCACATGCTAGACCTTCCGACCAGGCCTATTCGATGTCGCGGACTAAAACGCTCGAGGGGTTATCCGCTCTCGGAACGTGCAATGTATTCAACGCCCTACCTACTCCTGCTTCAACATGCCCAGCACGCAACATACAAAGCAAGGCCAGCAGATACCTGGGCAGAAAGCTGCTCCGAGCAAAGCTTGAACGTGGTGACCATCTTCGCGCCGCACTCCTTGGCCTGAGCAAAGCCGTAGGCGAAGAACATGATCTCCCCGATCAGGGCGTAGTCGGGCACCATCATGGCCACCGGTCGGAACAGGGCCTTCAGGGAGTCGGGAAGATCCGACCTTTCATTGGGTGTTGTTGATCGCAAAGCATAGGGTGGCTTGAGGGAAGTCAATGTATACACAGCCACGCGCGCTCGGGATGGTTTACACCATGAATAAGCGTTTCACGATACTAAAATCTGCCAGGAAATTGAAGAAGGTTGCCATCGGGGGGGGGGGCGTACTCAGCGAGAGTTGCGGACGGAGGTTAGGGTGGTGTAACCCCCATTCTTTGCACCTGGGATAAGTTTTCTTCTCGAAACTGGGTTGGGGTTGGGGGGGTGGTGCGGTCCGCTGTTGTTCTCAATGAGCATACCTATGTCTGTTGGGTCCTGGGGGGCAAACGATGGTTTGCGTCCTTACCTCCCCGCGTATCCAGGATTCATGGTGATGAACACTCCAAAGCCGGGCTTGACTATGATGTCGCTGCCCATGAACGAAATTCGCGGGTTGCCGCTCTTGAGGGCCTGTTGGATGGTCATGACTTGCTGGCCCACCACGGACAGCACCTGCGCACGTTTGTTTTTGCAAGTTGCACGGAAACATCACGACATGCTGGGAAAACCGGAAACCAATATCGTAGGCCAGCAAACATCACAGAATATCAACATCGCGCGCGCGTGCGGAAACATCAAATAACCAAGCGTGCACAAACCTCTATATTGATCCGGTTGAACTCGTCGAAGCAGGCCCAAGCGCCGCACGATGCCAAGCCCTTGAAGAACTTGCCCATGGCGATGTAGTCGAGGCCGTCGGAGCAGTTGAACACCACGCACTGCATCGCCAGGGCCTTGGATAGATCTTTGGTCGTTTCGGTCTTCCCGGTTCCCGCAGGCCCTGAGAGTGGCACACACACCAGTCAGTCACGAAAAGGGCAAGCTCCATATCATTCACACGATATTGCATGTACTTTATCTCCATCGGCATGTTTTTTTTTTTGCCGCTTCCCTAACTAGTTTGCCCAGACGTGCTGCATGCAGGCTGTACTGTTGCCAAGACGCCCACGAAGATCCGAACAACGCATAGCCGGCGGGGTCAGGCACTCTTCGGTGTTAGCTCCGTGATTCCAAGTTTTTACGCATTCATTGCAATCCTGCAACAATTCCTAGCTTAAGGCTTCTCTTTCTCGTCGGACCTGCGGGAGCACCACCGAGGATCATCTGAAGGGCGCCCATGAGCGTCAGGTAGCACTTGTCCGTGAGCGGTGTGATCACGAGCCGGAAAGAGTTCCCAAGGTACTCGTACCCGTACGGTCGCCTCGCTGCCACCATCTCCGCCCAGAGATCACCTTCGTCCCAGTAGTACCGCAGCTGGCTCGTCCAGGAGAAATCAGACCTGAACGTGAATTAGCAGAGCAAGTAATATTGGGTGTGCCGCAAGAAACGGTGTTGGAGGTAACGTGCCACAGAGAGGAGGTTAGCAGGTTGGAGAATGCCAGAATACCAGTCTGCGTGGTTGGACGTTTTCGTGCCACACCGTGGCCAAACTCGGAGAGAATGAACATATTGCCCGTCTAGACAAGAAGTTTTGGCACGGGACCACAAGTCCAGATAATAATTTTCTGCTTAGGACGGGAGCCGGAAGTACGAGCATATCTCACAACACGACGGTAGCACACCAACAATGATGGTAACACCAACGACCACAGCATGCATCATTGTTCTCACTTTTCGGACACCTTTTCGTAGGCGAGTTTGATCATGACGTCCCGAGCGTGCACGTCGATGACCGTGAGGGCTCCCACCGTCGTTCTTGCGCTGTTCGACAGCTTTCCTCTGACTAAAATCACCATGTCCTCCAATTGCGCCAACTGATATAAAGGGGAGGCGATGCCGGTGAGAGCAACCAAAGCAGCGAAAAAAACGAGAGACATGAGCATTTTATTTCCCCCACATGATTCTCTGTTGGTTAGACGATTGGTAAAAGTGGGAGGCTCAATCGCCCCCTCTCATCGCCATCGCCGCCATCACCGCCATCATCGCCAAAAACAATCGTCAATTAGTTGCGTATCTTTCGTCATCTATCTTACTTTCAATACACGGGACAAGGGCATCACAACCAGGACAATGGTCCCTGAAGATATGGTAGCCATCATGCTTAAATCAATACGAAGTATACCCCATGGTCTGGTACCTGTCTTGTGAGCATCGTCTGTGGCGCTTCTCCACCCTGCTCGAGCAGCAACTCTTCCGTCTCCGAGGTCCAGTGCAGCTGCGAGGCGTTCAGGACGCACATGCCGGGCCACTTCTGCATCCACTCGCATCGCCCGGAGCATAGGTAGTCTTGAATCGCCCGGTGCATGTGGTCTCGCACCTGAACGTCAGAGAGTACCGGGCTTGGCTTCTTCTTTCCCTGTCTTGTCTTCCGCGTGCGGTTGTGTTTATAGACGGGGCAATCTGCTCACGGGCGCTGAGATAAGTCGGCGCATCTCACTTTCCGCGAGCCAGGCTTAGAAATGGGCCGGGCAAGGTGTTGGCTTCGCGGGAGCTGAGATATACCTCAGCTGCGGCCGTTGGTGCTGACCTCTACGCGGCTGGTGCAAAACGAGGTCCTTTGCATCCACAATATTCTTGACGTTGGAACTTCCACGGAAAACAATCGTGGGTGATTGGCCCCCCGCGGGCAAGCTACGAAGGATGCGATATTGATATGGAGGCTCGCAATACCCACGCCAAGAGAGCAGTCTTGTGAAGATAGTACGACCTTCAACAGCTACGAGAAGAGCTCCCAGACGCCTTCATATTTCTGACTTGTTTGAGCTGGATGCTGCGACATTCAGAGTGCGCGAAACGTTGTAAAGAGGTGTTTTCTTGGGTGTTACGGTCATAAGGCCGATCCGGATAAACACCCCACTTTCTGTGGTTAAAACGGTATCGATCAGACCTGCGGTCGGCATGGAGGTATGGGAGCAGCACGGCTTGCTTCTTCTTTGTTTCCAACGACATGTCCGGCCAATCAATGCACCCAAATTCGATCTAGGCTCGAGGTAAGAGCTGCTTCCAGCGTACCGTGAGTCGCATATTGCCCTCAAGCTCCAGCATCCAAGCCTCGACGTTCTGCCCTTTGGGGTCGATCGGTTCGATGAGCTTTAGCGACTCCCCCTCGGGAGAGACCATGTGCGTTATCAGCAAATCACGATCAAAGACAACCTGTGGGGGGGGCATGAAAGGCAGCACAAATATCGGTGCGTATGATGCAAAACAAAACCAAGGCTAGGTGCAGACTGAACAGCGTCGTGCCCAGTGCAACCCTCTAGCAACTCAATTCTAACGGAAATAGGTGGACAACGCGGTAACAAACGAAGAAATTGACCCACAAAACGTTAGCGGGCATTCACACCCTTCGTCTTACCTTATCGATACCCTCGAAGCATTTCTTGAGATGGGGCTGCACCCTGTGAACGTCCTTGGACTCCGACAGGATAGAGAGGAGCTCGTCGTTGGAGAGGAAGTACAGCCGCGCGAACACCGAGCGCTTGGTCTCGAGGTAGTCGCTTAGCCCTTTCTGGACCTCGTCTAGCAGCTGTGCCCCCTCCCTGCGCGAGGAACAGCATCAAGAATGACAGTGACAACCCACCTCGCGAAAAATAGGAGTCAACACCGCCCAAATGTTTCGAACACGGGAAGACAAACGACGACAGCGACAAGCGAAGGGCGCTCGTGATATCTATATCCCCATCTGGGCAGCAGATCAGAATACATGAGATGTGCGCGTACACTCACTTGAACCGTTCCAGCAGCTTGGGGCTGTTGCAGAAGTCGATGACCTTGCTGTTGCTCTTGGCGCTCGAGATAGTCTGCCGCCAGTTCTTGTCCACCATGGCGAATTTCTTACCTTCCGCGGGAAGCTGGTAAATTGTTGTTCGTTTTGAGCAGGGCCGAGTGACGGACGGAAACGATAAACAAACATTTGAACGCGTGGAATGATTGTCAACCCACGCATGGACAAGACAGGCGGTGTGTCCCGTCAGCGATAGATGGTTTATTTGGCAAACTTTTCAAGTTGGACCCAACCAACCGAGATAATTGTATGCTGATACCATAGTTTCTGGCAATCACGCATGCAAGACCCGGTTGCTTCGTGCGGGAAATGATTTTTAAGGCAACACACACATCTGAAGAAGAAATCCATCGTACAACCTACAGCTTGGAATTGCCTTGTGTGCAACCTACTAGGACACGTGCCATCTGTGATGTGCACCTGGGGACATGAACGGATCCTCCAGCACGCTAGATTCAGAACCTCGCAAGCTATACACTTGCCGTGTTTTCTCAGTCTCGCCTCTTCCACAGGCACGCATTTTGCTCCCTTCAGTTTTTCATTTTTTTGTGCGACATGGAGAGAAATGGAAACGGTCTTCCCCTCTCACCTGCTTGTTGATATCCGGGCTTTCAAAGATTGGCTGAAGATAAAGCCAGTTTCGCTGCACCGACAGCCACGCTTCCAAAACCTCGGATACCTTGAAAAAGAAAGGCACCGCAACAAGAAATCGCGTGAGAAGCGGCGAGCGTTTCAAGCGGGGTAAGCCGCTGTCCTATGGTGCACCACACCCATCTTGTGCTGCTTCGAAGGAAACACTTCTTCTCTGCAAAATCATGTAGACCAACGAACATGTCGTCGTCGAATGACGAAGTGCGAATGCATATCGCATATCGCAGTCCAGGACGAACACCAGAAGACACTGTTACCAATGTTGAACGAGGTGTGATCTTTCGGGTTGTTCTGTGGCCAACACAGCCGAGACAAAATCGCGGACATCTTCCGAGCCAACCCCCCGCGCAGATTGAAACCGAACCATTCGAGAGAGCTTACGCGTTTCAGAAAAACGTGGTTCCTGCACCGTCGACGACCAGACGATCTGATGCCACGGATGTGACCGGTTTCTCAACAAAGCAGTTTGCCCCTGTCCCGATATCAGAGCGAGTACGGCCTAGTGGTGGCTCACCATGTAGAGCTTGCCGTTCCATACGTCGATCCTTTCGGCGAATGGTCCCTTGAACGCCGAAAACTGCATCGCTTGCGTCATGGTCACCTAGGATCGAAGGACAGAATATCATTAGCACTTCCCCGTGATTGCTTGCGCCATGGTGAGAAAATGAGGGGGCATGGCGATCACCATGGAAGCGTTCTACGACTGGACGTATGGCATCGCCCACTCAATGTTGTGTTGCAACGAACCGTTGGGAAAAAGGTCGCTCATCCCTCAGGACACACGGTGTTGTAGCACTACTCCCCTCAGGTTCATCTCTCAGACTTTTGACAATTTAATCGGCATGGAAGCAACGTCCCTGCCTGACACCACAAAAAAGTAGAGTGTCGGCGGCCGTGTACCGTATTCATACATCCGCATGTTCTCTTATTGAGCGGCACGAACCTTCTCGCGATATGACTTGCGGCTGACTGACGACTGAATTTCTTCGAAAAATCAGGAACTACAAATACCCGGACGGCGTGACCAAAACCAGAACAATGAAAAACATTTAATTAGGGTGTTATTTTCTAAATTGTTTTTATTGGGGGGTGTGAATGTTGGAATACTCAATGTAATTCATTAGAGTTTGTACTGCTGTAAACAATAGTAAGTAGATATTCACCTAAGGAGCATTACCGGAATAGTCTTCGGTATGTTGATTCAGTAATCGGATCATTGTATACACCTACGGGTTATACATTGAACCATAGAAGTATGGTACATCGGACCATTGTCCTATAGGATATTCTAGTAACGTTTTCAAAGGTCGGATTGACCGTCTATTACCGTGATCGGTACGTTGCAATAGCCCGTGTGTGTTTTCTTTCCGTGATGACGGTGGATGGCTCGCCCCCGTGGTGCTCGCCCCCACTCGCTCACTTCTTCTTCTTCTTCTTCTTTTTCTTCTTCTTCTTCTCACCGCAAGCAACTCAGTGGGAAAAAGCCATGATCAAGAAGCTCTCCAGCCTAGACGACCATGAGGTGGCTGACCTCATTCCTTTCTCCTCGGTTCCCGCCGGCTACGCCATCAGTGAAGGCAAAGTTATCATTACTTTCATCCGCACGGCGGCATTCGTTCGCCACACACATTGCAACCAAAGTCCCCCCTTACCTGCTCGTCTAGTACGGTGTTGATCTCGTCGACTCCCTTGAGGATTCCGGTGCCGGTCTCGCGGTACCCCACGATCTCGAGCCGGCTGTCCTTCCATTCGTCTTCCATCTTGGTCAAGGCCTCCTCGATTTGGTACTCCTTTGCCGCCGATTCAGACACCTGTCACGGGGGGGGCGAGGCTCATCAAACCGGTGTAACTAAAGTCACGTTCAATCGTCCGAGATTAGCAACTGGAATGGACCTATTCCATAAGATGTGAGCTTCGCCAACCTCCCGTCAATCATCGCCGCACACTCCGGCGCCTGTCACCGACACACCGAAGACAACGGCGTCGAATCTATCATCGGCAACAACCCTGGTTCTTGCTGCCGACTCCGTTGCGAAAAGCTTGGTGACCCGTACCCGTGTCTCCTCCGAAATCGAGCATCACACTCGGGGCGTGGGAAACCACTCAATGGAGGAGATCTACCGAAAACAGATTGTCCCTCTACACGTATCATCGTGTACCATTTCCATCGACAGTCAGAACCATCGCCAAACACAACTCGCGGTTGACCGTGTTAGGAGCTAACGCGGACCTCAACAAAGAAGTAGTAGGAAAGACTAAAGAGAAACTACATACACTTGACCAAAGTCCCACTATGCCGCCCAACGACACAAAAAATTCATGGACGTTGTTCTTAGACTTAGCTATACAGGTTGGATGCAGAAGAACAATACAGTATTCCTTCGTGCAACATTAAGGCGGCCTGCTTGATCAGCGCTTCGATCACGTTCTTCGTAGACCTACCCTTTCCACACGTACACACCTAGGCACGATGGATCATTCCTCTCTCCAGAAAAGGACATCGAGTCCCAAAGCCGTATCGCCTACCTTGTCAATCTGGGGCTGGTAAGGTTCGAGGTCGAGTTCCAGGAGCTCCTCGAGGGTGTAGTTCTCGTCGGGGTTCAGCGAGTAGCCCAACTGCGGTATGTAGGTAACAGTTTTCGGTTTCGGGGAAAGGTCAAATAACAAGGGGGGCGGTTGGAGTTGAGTCCTCCGACCAGGTGAGCCCAACCCCGGCACAATCATGAGCGTCTTGTGAAACCAACAGCCTTAGAAGTATCTTGAACAATAAAGAGTACGACCTTTTCATTCCTCCACACGTACGAAAGCCGAGCACTTGAGCGCGTCCGTACTCAAAAAGTGCGCATCGCGCACAGCCGTTCGCTCGCTGCCTGTGCACCCTCTTGCTCTAAAAATTGTCTTCACAACTTTCTCGACATACAGGAGCTCAAGGAAAACATACGTACATCACGCAATGTGGTTGGCCACATTCTTGCGAGACATGGTGTGTGGTCCCATAGAAGCCTCGTTTGCGCACAACGCACCTTGTCGCTCAGCTGCTCCCAGTGCCTCGGCTTCATGCCCGGGTTTCGTAGAGCCACGATGGCTGGAACCTTCGGCCGGAAGGCCGAGACTTTGTCCTTGATGACGTTGCAGATATTGCTCTGCGCCACCTTCCCGGTGTTGTCGAAAACGCGGGAGGCCTTTTGGATCGCCGTCCCCAGCCTTCGCGACAAGCATAGCCGGTGGGTGGGGGGGCGGTGGGGCAGGAGGCGGGAGGCCGGGATCAACTGAGATGATTCGGCCGCCGTTTTGGTCGACGGTGGGGGCAGGGTAAAGGTTAGGTCGGCCTTGTTATTCGCTCAATAGATATGGTGAAAACCTTCCGCGCCTTGACCAACCCCAAAATATGTACCTATCCATACCGCACCCCGACGCCACACCTTTCGACATCGGCCTCGAGAGTCGCCGCATCGATCGCCAGGAAAGATCCCTTCGTCCAAGCCTCGTAGCTGAGCGTCCACTCCTTCGCCGTCGTCCAGAGGTTGACGTACGGCTCCACGGCCTTCCGCACGCGGAGGATCTGGTCGTACTCCGTGGGCGCGCGGCCGAAGAGCCCTTCCCGGGACTGGAACAGCCGAGCTGTGAGGTTTCGACATTGCGGTGGGACAAGATTTGCTTGGTGCAGATGTATAGCGAAACGGATCGAGAGCATTGGACATCAAAGGCTAAAAACAACAACAACAACCAACAACAACAACAACCAGTCCCACGTCTCCAAAGTTATCAACAATAAAAACGGGCTGTGGCTTACACTTGTTCTCCGCGTCCGAGATCCTGCCGGCTATTTCTCCGACCAGCTTGGAAACTCTGTCGACTAAGGCCAGGTCCTCGTGCTGCTCGAGCCCAGCCACCTCCAGCTCGAGGAGGTCCATCGTGTGCGTGAACCGCTCCTGCTCGCTCTCCATCTGGCAACACCACATCGTTTTGCAGCATATCATATCACGTCCGTGTATTATTGCGACAAGTGTTTTCAGGAGTCCATCTACATAGTTCCTGCGGCTTCGCTGGTCGTCGCAACAAGATCGAACGTATTTCCCGCGCAACGCACACTAGAGATTGTGACATACTCGTTGGCCTGCGATTTTGCGTTACAATGGCGCGAGTGAGAGAGAAGCTTGACATTTTCTTCATCACCGAAAACTTGGCACCCACCTCCTCTTGGAACAACCCCCTGCTCTGCTTAAGAAGAGCCTCCGTGTCCTCGCACTGCTGGGCTATCCGCTGAGGCCAGGCGAAGGCCACCCACTTGTCGTTTGAGTGCTCCAGTGGCACCGTGTAGCTGAATTCTTCCAGGAGCTGTGAACCATGAGGGTGCGATGGGCGTATTCACTCCACAAAGGCAAGAGATCAACGGATTCTTCCAAAAAAAATACCGCATTTCCTCTTCCTCCGAAAGATGTGCACGTGCGATGGGGATGGCGTTTGGCATTCGTTCACTAGAAGCCAGTTGTGTTCCCACGCACGTCAAACAAATGTACGGCTGGTTGCTTCTTCGATTCTTGACAGAAGGATGCCAGATCGCATGCACCGCAATGTATGTAGACGCCGTTGGGTACTCCCCCACGACACGAGGTAGCAGAGCCCGCGTGATGCCCCTACTTTGTCATGGCTCTGTGGGTTGGTGGGCCGTAAGGTGCCGTACAGAGTCGCAGCATTCCAACGTACATTCCATCCAGCTTCAAGCATGATGAGCGTCAGAATGGTCCCGGACTCCGTACATGCCAATAATGAAATCCGTATACTGTATCTACCAAGACGCTTTCATTAGACCCGCCTGTTCTTCTCCAACCAGTTCTCGCTCACCTCATTGCACTCCATCATAGTCCCAAGGGCGTCGGAAAGGGGCGCCAGGTTCGTGTCTAGCGTCTTCATGTACTCTTCCAGCTGGGCGACCTATTGTTGTTAGTCATTGCGATCGGGCTGTGTTTGTTGCACACAGATGTAGTAAATGATAGAGTTGCGCCGCTCTGGCCGTTGACGACGTTGCAAGGTTCTCCACACAACAGACGGGCAGCGAAATGAAACAGTACCGAAGCTTCGCCGTATAAATGGTTCACACAAGTCCCGTCGGTCAAGCGCCCTTCTCCTGGGTATCTTTCTCGCTTGTGACCCCCCGCCGTTGTTCTTGGCCACACATACAAGGTAGGTCGCAGAAAAAATATCGTGGTAAGACGGTTTGCCCTCAGATCCACGTCAGCTGAGATTTTCAAGGACTTCCGACCGAAGATCGGGTTGTTTAGGAAACTAATGGAAGGTATGGTATTTTGCGGGCAAGCTTAGAGCCGAAGTCGGTGCGAGTGAGATTGCGTTCAGAAGATTTTCGTGGTTAGGCACGTCTCTCTCGAAACGGGATGGGAAGGTCCGCCGCTATCTTGATGCTTCACGAGTGTTTATAGTACATCACTCACCTCCTCGATGTCCTTCGGCTTCTTCTGCAGCCATGCCAGCACCGACTGGAACTTGGCGCAGCAGGCGGACGCCAGCGTCTCGCAGTGGGTCCTTTGCTCCACCAGCAGCCGCTGAGCTATCCCACGGTGCTTCGTCAACAGGTGACTCCTGTTGCCATCGGTAGTAGATTGGCATTTGGCTTGTATGATTTCGAGCAACTGACGAGCTCCAAGGCCACCACAACCGATATGAGGAGCAGGATAAAGGTTGTTACGTGGAGAACTGGAGTGAGGCGAACTAGGGTCGGGGCGACATGCAAGCTATAAGATCGAGTTTGATCACGTTAGGCCTACAGGGCATGTGTCGTTTTTCCCTTCATTCCTCCACCACGACATACGTTTCAAGGTGGTGTTCCCCCCTACCGGATGCTGGAAGGATTGACCGCGAAGAGGCCGCAATCCACGGGACTGTTTGGAACGTCTGCGCGGATCTCGGTTTCAGCGGTCTGCGAAGGAAAAAAGACCACCGACAGCGGAGAGCACGCGAGCAGATGACAGGTACTGTGAGGGTTCGACGGTCAGCAAAACAATACCGAGGCGACATGTGATCATGGTGCCCCCGCCTGTCCCAAATGATTCATGTTCACCGCCTTCCCACGGCAACGCCCGGTATTTCGCTATGGGTTCGGGTCTCTGCTAGGGCGGCCAGGTTTACGGCGGAAATATCCAAGGTCAGCCCGCTGTCCAGGGAGACGCTATCCAGGGAAAATCAAGAAGTGTTACGATTGGATACCGACTGGTCAGCCCACCATCCCAGGATAAAATTCTACCCGACCGTTCCTCCTGCTCCCTAAATCGCCGTCAGTGTTTTCGGGCCGTAGGATACCTGGTGCTTGGTCAAGACTGCCCTGAGCGCGGCCAGGTTGACGGTCGCGACTCCAAGGCCCTCCTCCTCGTCGTCGTCGCCGTCGCCACCGCCGCCGTCATTGCTCGTGTGGGTCATCGACGCCATGTACGCCTCGACGTCGAGGTTGAGGAAGTCGACGTACCGGTCAAAGAGCTTGAGATAGTCCTGCGAAAACGATTTGTGAGAGCACAGTGGTTTCATGCGAGGGGACGATCGCGAAAACACCGTTTCATGTTGAGGGAACAATCGTAAGAACACGGTTTCATGTGAGGGAAAAAAATCGGGACCGAGGGGGGTTAGGGTGACCGCCGGGGAGGACGAGGGAAGCAACGCCCGCTTCACCACAGACGGTGCTGCGACTGATACAGTTACCGGCGATCTTTCCGAGACGCCATGGACGTGTAACTTGTGAGCGTACAAATCATATCGATCAAGACGTCTGCGCTGCTCACCCTTAGGGGGACAATGGCGGCCTCGAGAACTTCCTCTGCTCGGCCCCGAAGATCCACCACCCACGGTTCGTCCGGCCCGGCCACGGACATGAACTGTGGGTCTGGCCAGAAGAGTCGATCCATCACGAATCGTTGCACCTGTACATTGCAAGCGTAAGTCGCAGGTTTTTAGGGATTGGGGCTAGACTTGGCGCTAGGGAAAAAATGCTTAACTAGAGCATACCTCACCTATTCGGAATTCAAGAGCAATTAATGTCGAGACAAACCTAAGCGTAGCGGCTCATCAGGGCACGCTGTGCATGCTGATGCGGCTGCCGTCAGCCGAGTAGGTTTACGTCGGGTTTCAGGTGAGGTCAAGGTAGGGAAAGGGTGTTGGTGGTGAACGGGCTGCAACTAGCCAACATCGAGCATGCTTGAGCACCCCCTACCGCTCAGTATACCAATATCAACACAACAGCAGTAATAACGTCTGCTGTCGCGAAAGCCGAAGCAACCACAGGGTGTTGCTGCACCCAATCTTGACCTGGTGGATGCCGGCGACCCTTGCCAAAGTGCCGTCGTAACATCTCAAGGCCTCCGATCGAAAGTCCTCGAGGGGCGTGTCTACCTCGGGGATATGACCGCGCACGTCGGGCACCTGAAAACCAGGAGGAATGGTGGAAACACGACGGTCGAATTCATATTTTCTAAAGATAACGGCAACCTGCGGTTTCTTGGGGAGGATACACAGACGAACGGCGGCAGCGAGTGGCGGAAGGCTTGTTGGAAATTGAACAAACCCAGAGGGAACCGATGACTTCCAACGACTGTGCTCCGCACTACCCATGGAGGGTATCAGAGGCGATGGATGTATTATCAGGAAGCTCTTGCGCACAAACGGTGAAACACGCCACCTAAACTCTGACTCCCTTCCCTGACGTGGAATTAGGTAGAGAACATCGCCCCATATCCCCCCGGCAGCTACGCGCGCAGGGCGTTTGCGGTGTGTTCGTTCGTTCTGCACCGTCTCCCCAAGACCAAGTTCCGAGACGAGTCGAGACGGGATGGATGGGGTCCGCAAAACGAGTCCGCAGAGACAGTTCACCCTCGCTTGACATGGCGCAAGGGTTATTTCGTCGTGGTCCACTGAAAAACAATAGACATACCTATGGGGCAAGGCTGACGTCAGGAGACGTGTCGAATCCTATTCATGCGGGGGGTGTACAATATTTCTGGACTAAGCCAGCGTTTTATTGGCAGATAGTAGTGGCCCGGGACATATCATGTTTTTCGGTGACTGCTGAGTGACGTGCATACCTCCGCAATTGGACAAACTGCGCCGTCCTCCCTTGATTCCGGCGTTGCCCGCCACTCCGCAATCCGTCGCTCTGCCTCTTTCACTTCGGACACGTTCAGCACGTGTCTGCACGTTTGATGTGGAAACGGGCGTTTGAATGGGTCCGGTGATGTGGAAAGCTTACACGATTCCAGAGCAATTGTAGGCCGCGCTCCCCGAGCCTTCCGTAAAAATAATGTTAGCTCAGGTGTTGATGGGCCAAGAGCCATCGACTAGACAAGGTCCTTGTTTGCAGGGGGGGGGGGGCATGCATGATGTAGTCAAGAGGACTCCGTTTGTTGGCATTGCGACAAAAGATGGGCACCGCAGCAGCATCCATAGGACGGGGGATCGGATGACATTCACTCGGGAGCACCACCGCAGAGCTCTTCACAATATCCCGGTTGTTCTCAATGGCATCGGAACACGCCCTCTGTTTTTCATTTTTCTGGGTGTTGCTCGCGCTTGCGTTCTGTGGAAGATACAGATACCGCACACCTACTCTGCAAGGGATATGATATCATGAGAGAAGCCCTTACAGAAGAGCTGATCGCACGAGAAGAGTGAATTCCACACCAGCACAGGGGTCAGCACTCACCGGCCAGTTGATCGGATGATGTCAACCTTGAACAGGGGAGGCGTCGTGCCTCTGCGCATGGCTCCCTCTCCTTGATCGGTGACTATGACATCGTTCATATGCTTGACTTCAACCTGCGATAGAATGTAGGGATGTCAGCCATCGCTCGTTCTCAAAGTTGTGTCTTCGACTTCATCGTCGTCGTCTATCATTTGTTGATAGTCATCTCACGTGCTCGCATATATATGTGTGATAGTGATACGTATTTCGGCGCTTCACTTCACCCGAACTGCCACCCTGGGGTTCATTTCGCGCAATATGCTACTGTCGACGTCGCAAAAATGGTAGTAAAAACCCGCCGTTCGTCCGAGCGCCTCCGCCTTCTTTCGGCCTCTTCCACGATAGCCTCGGTGCATAGCGCACCGGACGTGCCGAGGGAGATTGCACATCGTTGTCTGCTCAGGGGGAGACACAGGCATTCGATGTAACTCCAAGCTTCAGTCACCTGGCAGCTGCAACACTTGAGCAAGTAGTCCGAGAACTCCTCCAACGTGCGCCGCGTCAGCGTCTGGTTGAGAGGCGTTGTTTTTTGTTAGCGAGAGGGCGCGGCGAAGGGGTCAATCGGCTCAGTCACAGGCAACACATGTACAGCGCAATCGGTGAAAAGAAAGGTAAAAACGAGTCTCTCAGTTCTTCCGCGGGTATGCGTGAAGTAATGCAACCAATCGAGAAGTCCGTGTGACGTGAGCTGATGATTTTCTTGGAATCTTGGAACGCGGCACAGGGGGTGAGCAGCAAAATCGAGTCGAATTGGCGGGGAGTTCGACTCACTTCTAATCTTGTCCACGCTCTTGACTTGGGACCATGTCTTCGACACAAACAACCACCGGCATTAACGTCGCCTTCGAATTCATTTCTACATATGGCTTGACAGATGCTCTTCAACGAGGCTGGACCCGAGGCAGCCATATCGACAAATACACCCCTGAAGAAAATACCGCGGCCTGCATTCCTAGACCGAATAAAAATTCGCTGTTATATTGCGTGTTGCCATGTCGTGGATGGAGTCCTCTCGGTCGAAAGGCGAACGTATGTGCGGCCATCCCTGTAGAAGATATGCTTCTACCTGACCAGCGGGTGCGTGCACTACCCGAAGAACAACGCCTGTACTCTGGAGTACTACGAAGCTGTTTTGGGCACTCAAACCGACAAGCCATCCCCACGGGAACCCGGTCAGTAGCTCTGCACGGCCAACAAACAATCTCGCAGCACAAGTTGCCACAAAAATCGGAATAAAGGCCATCATACTAAGAGTACAGTAGTACTCACTCACCTGTAAGGCATCCGTCATGCAGTAGTTCGCCCATCGCAAAAGACTTCTGATCTCCGATACCTCGAAGTTTTCCATCACTGAGATGGAGCTGTCAAACCGAGGTCGAGATAGCGCATTGCCGCAGCCGCCGCCGCCGCCGGTCCCGTCCCCGCCCCCCCCACCTCTACCCCCACCGGCTTTTGGGCTAGTAGCTCCCTGAGGAGATCGGTGTGATGGCCACGTTGATTGAATATGTATCGGGAATGTGTGAGATCAAATAAATTTCGTAGGAACATCGGTGTCGAGGAAGAGTGGTCGAGGGGGAATAGGAATGGGAAACACCCGACAAAGGCCAACCGCATTTTCGTCGCTACCTCCATCGCCTCAGCCCCCTACACCCAACCACTTCTCGAATCTACCCGAATGTTCTTGTAGCTGAAACATTTTTATTGGCACGCTTTGAGCAAAGTGGGAGGGGAAGGGTGGCCCATTGTTGTCCCCATGCCTTCGGACAGGATGAACGCGTTGAGTGTCACGACTACGTCCACCATGCAACCAGAAACCCTGCACCTTCTCTCAACGGCTCAAGTCCGAATCTCCTGCTTCTCTTGTCGCCTTCGTGGGGTTCGGAAATGGCTCCCTACACTGTCGCCTGGAAAGTACTTCACCCTGTAGAGTAATTACAACAGTCCCATGCGCTCGGAAGATGTCGGGCCACTTGCTCCAATTTCCGCCACAAACCAATCATGCACACCAGTCTCACCGCCACCCCCTCCCCATCACCTCTAGCACCACCACCACCACCACCACCACCACCACCACCACCAGTACTACCACCACCGCCACTACCGCCATCACCACTAACGCCACCGCCACTCTTGGCTCCTCCCACCTGATCGAGCGATTGGGCTTCCGCTGCAGCTCCACCCCCTACGCCTGCTCGCTGAGAGGCGTTCCCGTCCTCGGGTAGTTGCCGCCGCAGAGCGACGTGAATGGTCGACCCCACCCTCTGGGGCCACTCCTCCCGCACAACCCGCTTGGCGCGCATGAGGGCGTCCCCCTGGCAGCGCGAAAACGCCTCCAGCCGAAGGGGCTCCTGAAGAGGGAGTGTTTCACGTCACATCAGGGGACAACCGACAGCAGTTTTACGCATAATAAGTTGCCACAAGTGAGTGAGAGACAGCAGCGGCGAGGGTAATGGCGGCGTCTCAACGACCGTGTTCGAGCGGTCGTTTTCTTTTAAGGGGGTTCAGTGTCACCATCAGTTTCAGGTCAGACTCCACGAAACGTGGGGGTCGTACGCATCTTAGGGGTTTGTTGTCCAGGCACCGCACAGTACTGCTGCAGCCGAGGGGCTTCTTGTACACGATTTCAGACGTGATGCCAAGTTTTCCAGACTGCCCTATGCCAAGGGGAGCCATGTGCCGCCAGACTCATACGGACCGCTCAAGTCCTCAATGATGAGCTTCGGGCTACACACCTAAGGGCGAAGCACCGAGCGGCCGAAACCTGTCACATGTCTTCACGTTCAAAACCTAGTTCGACGCTTCCAAGTAGCTCCTCTATCGTAAGGCAAAATTCGGGATTTCAAGCCTCAAGGCTAAAAATAGCAAGATCCGGAGAACCGTCGGCCACAAGCTCAATCACAAACGTTCAAATCCGGATAGGCATGCAGAACACTTCAAATAAAACGCGTATCTAGAGTTCATCCCTCTAAATCGGAGACTAAGTTCAAAACAAAGCGCACATTAGGAATACCACCGAATGTGAGAAACAAGGACAATACGCACTGATACTATCCAGACTTCACGGTAGCAGAATAATAACTTAAGCACAGCGTCTGGAGCGAGGAGAAGTTCTCACCGGATGGATTGTCGTCAGGGCGCGAACGCCGGTGAGCCAGAGGCACTCGCCCGTCACCCCCAACGCCGCCGCCAGCGCGGCCGATGACGTCATGAAGGTGGATCGTCGAAACACCTCAGAGACTCCTGGAAATTAAACACCACGTCCAGAAACAAGTAAACAACTGGTGTTGCTTTTCCTGCCAGCGGGAACGCAGGGGGGGCGGAATCTTCACTCTTTGCTTGCCGTTACTTGCTCTTGCACCACTTTCATCAAGTCTTTACCAACAACTGTTGTAAAGTGGTACTCAACATTGGCAGCCAGTGGCACAGGACAGGCGCGACGAACCCGAATCATCAAAGCCCCTTTCGTACATGCCAAGCACCCCGTGTACTCTCAATCGACAGCAGGGGAAGCAAAACGTATCGGGAAATCAACCAAGGGAAGCAATATTCAAATTCTCACCTCTGAAGTCATGCGGGGGAGTGGAGACGACGGCCATCTCAGGTACAGGCTTGGGGGGGGTGGGGGGTGGCAACTTCAGTCGCACGTATGTCTGTGTTACGGGAAGACACGGACGGTGGGGAACCAGACAGGAACGACCGACCGGAAACCGGAAGGGAACGCTATTGCCGTTCGTCGCTGTGTTCTATACACATGAGATCACACTATGCTCCCTTTGGCCGTCAAAAAATGTTTGTAACCCCAAAGTCACAGAACAACCCATTCATTTAGCCCTCTCTCTCGCCTATATTGCACGGTGGCGAAGCCGCGAACACACGCGTAAGCGATTTTCATATGTATCAGGCTGGACAGCAGTTGGAATGTCTGGAGCGGTTTGGTGTTCGATACGTGCCGATCATTGCAGTATTGACCGGCAGGTGGTCGGCAAGCGCCACAATTACAATCCACCATACATCCGACACCAACATGAAGAATGTGAAAAACGAACTGGAAGCAGCCCGTTCCGTGGTACAGATTTTACTCGAACCCGCATCACCAAGAATATCGCCATGGGCGGCGACGTCGAGAAGTCCGCCAACGGCGCCCTGACCATGATATGTACCTGGATGTTGGCCTCGTTCATCATGTTGCTGTCAAAGACCAGCGAGGACATGCACAGCTCGTACTCCCGGGTGACCTCGGCCATCAGCTTGCTAGCGGTAGCCATCGCGAGACCCTTGTAGCCGGAGCCTGACCCTGACATTAACAAACCGACGTCGAAAGACATCGCTTATCATCAACATCGCTATCTTCCGGCCAAAAGGTTTGGCATCGGTTGTAGCGAACTCCCACCCACAAGAAGGCCCTCACATATTCGAGACGTTTTGAACGCTTCTAAGTATTGTCTACCACATGCTTCCATCACGCGTTGACGTTCCACATAGTTAGAGGCCAGAAACCCCTTGCCACTACTGGACTGACGTGTTTTTCGAAACACGACGATTCCAAGGTAGGTGACGCCTTATGCAGCAGTCTGCGACAGTAAAATATAGTTCCCCTCCCCTTCTACTGGTAATTCTACTGTAGTTCCGCACACTTTGAACCATGGAGAATCCGTGTGAGGTACTTCGTGAAACGGGTGCATATGCTGCGTCCCCCCAAGTCAAGCGAATACTCGTTCCAAGCACTTCACGCTACCGATAAATTACTCGTTGAGACGACGCGGTGCTGTGTAAACAAGTGGCGCTCACCCTTAAAGGCGCTCAACGCGAGGGCCATCGCCCTGTTGGCCGGGCCCTCCTGCAGCGTGCCCGTTACGCTGGTGTCCACCGGCATGCAGCTCACGTAGTGTCTGTCAGCACGACGGGAAGGAAGGCAAGCTTTGCATCAACCTACATAACACCGCCGAAGGACAAGGTTCGGCCACGATGTGCGAAACGAAAAACGTTTTCCCAACGAGCGCAGCCGTTGCTCACTTCATGCATTAAATGGGGCTTGTGCGCCAAGGATGAAAACTCCTTCTTTTGCTCGGGTGCTCGTGGGTCCTCGGGTGCTCATGGGTCCACGGTTTTGCATATCACAGATGTCACGCAATTTCGGGACGTTTTGAAAAGTTTGTTGGTTTTTCGCCCGTGAACATTTAGCTGCGACCAGGTCATATGCTCTTCCACGTTTCGCTACAAAGATCAGAGAGGACGCTCAAACAGTGATGGTTGCCCCAGGACAGAGAAAAAAGGTCATCAACTCTTTCAGCTCAACAAAGACACTGTTTCCCTCGCCTGACGATCCTGATACCATGGTCCGCTTTGGTGCCAGCAAAGAAGAGGTCGTGGAGTGGATACGGATTGCAGTTGCTTTATTTTCATCAGCCATGCGTGTATGTGCGAATCAAAGACGATGCAGCCTCGCCATATCGCCACCAGGTTTACACCGCCTCAACCCTCGAGACAAGCTCGATGAGGTAGTGCGACGCATTGCACCGCCGGGACCGACAACGCCGTTCCCTTTTTCCCTCCACGCTGTACGCAAACCCGTTACTAATAGACCCTTGCTGACCCTCACTCATGTCTCAAGCACATACTCTTGTTCCAAGCAAGTTTCCAGCGTTTAGCGCTCAAAGTAGTCCTGGGCACACCCTCAATCTTGCTTCCGAGAAAAATCTTCATTGGCATACGTTTCGCTCCCCATGCTTGAGCCCGGACTCTTACTGTTAAGTCCGCATTCACGCACACCTATAAGCAAGCAGTGCCTCGCACGCCCTTCTGCGGGACAGGGCCTCTTGAACCCTCGCGGTGAACTCCACACAGTCGTGACCGCTGCCGCAGGCACCACGAACACCCCCTCCGCCTCCGAGGCCTTCGGGTTTCTGTACGAAAACCTCGTGCGGGTGCAGGGTCGCCTTCCGGGAGGAGGATGGGATGAGGAAGCAGCGGGGGGGGGGAGGGGCGTACTCTTATGTTTTGCATGTCTTAGCGGTTAGACCATTGACCACGCGTCCTCGAGAGGACGGAGCATTGTTCCCACAGGACCGATCACCGATGGCCAATCATTCCTTCCTACTTTGCCAAAGGTGGCTCAAAAATGTCTTCCCTAGTCTGTCTATCCTAACGATATCCCTTCCCGCCTTTTCAAACCACTTCCTACTCCCCAGTACAGCTACCGTCCTCTCCCCTCTATTCCATGCCTCAAACATCTCCCTGCACGTCCCTTGTATTTTTCCCAGCTCAGTCATGTACACTTCCCTCTCCTCTTCGTACAACTGACATTCCGCGACTACATGAACACGGTCTTCGCATTCGAAGCCGCAATCACATTTGAACTTGTCGTCTTCGTCGTCTACCGTCCTATGTCTTCGTCGACGTTCTCGAAGGTCTATGTCCCCGGTCCTGAATTTGACCTTAAGCTTTGTCCCTGCATCCATTGGTCCATGTAGGTAATCCTTGAACCCTATTTCTTCTTTCGACATTCCGTACACTTCTAGACCTTCCTTATCCTCGGTTTTTTTCCTTAGATTCTGTTCTTCTCTCTCGGAAGCAGCGGGGGGGGGTTGAACTCGTTGCTTGTCTTTATGGCAAGGCAGTTGGAGGGATTGGCCGGGTGTTGGTATAGTTGTTATTCGTTGATGTCATCGCCATGCGTGTGGGGGAAATGGGGTGTTCATTGGTTGACAAATGCTTGTCGTACTCGTTGCAGCTCGCCTGCAATAGGGGAGCCCTGAAGTTGGGTACGACGTCTAGTCCATACCACATCCGATGAGGAAGAGCGATGCTAATGCTTGGTTTTCGTCATTGTGGTGCTATGAGTAAATGCGGTGAAATCAGCTGACCCTCCAACCATGTATTCTCACCTCCCCTCCCGCGGCATCGTCCCACTCAACATCGATCAAACCCGAGTCGGTGGATTCTGGCGCCCCCGCCCCGGTCCCCCTCCTCTTCACAACGCAACGCCTCCACACGAAAACACCTCCGCTCCCATCCCCCGCGCCCGGAACTCCCTCAGCCCCCTGATCCCCCATCTGGTCGTGAGGACTCCAGTCATTGCCGCCCTGGTACAGCCCGACGGCTGATACCCCCGGTACCACCAGGCCGGCATAGTCGTCAGGGGCACCACAGTCTGCCGCAGGCAGATCTGTACCCACTCGGACAGGCTCATGCCCGGGTAGTGGCTCAGTGACAGCCGCGACGGCATTTTCGTCGGCGCTGATGGTCGTTGTCGCCTTCGCCGCGGGCGGGCGGCAGCGCGGGGATGGGATTTGATGGAAGAAGGACAGGGGCAGCCGGGCGCGGTGGGAGGCAACGGCCCTACCGTCCTCGGAGTTCTACGTGTTTCGGAGCGAGCGGGCGGGTAGAGGGGGGGGCAGGGCTCCAATGTCAATGTCTAAAGAGGCAAACATAGGGCAACGTTGTGCTGCTTGGAAAACATCGGAACAATACGCCCGGACTTTTATCGAAATTGGCGTTTCGCGTTCGCCTTTTGCTTCGTACGCCGTGCGGTACGGGGAAAGCATAGATTCGAAAAAACAGTAATAATCAAGTTGCGTGCTCTTTTGGCGTTAACAACCTATCGACGCTCGTCGGTCTGAAGAAGAAACTTGGAGCAAGGGGGGCGGCAGACACTAAAAACAACAATACTCTTATATTTCCGCGCACCTCAAGCCAGTCGCGCATAAGCTCGTTTAGCTCCCAACACGGCCCTCCTTCATCCTCCTGAAAGCTATTCCTTGATGTGTATCGGCAAGAACAGGAAGGGGCTTCCGTCGTTCTTTGTTTGCGTTGGTGGTGGTTGCGGCGGTGCCGTTGAGGTTGAAAGTGTTCTTAACACTAAACGGTCGTTGTTGGAAACTGAGCTTTTCGAGCTTGCGAGAACGACACATGGCGGGTGAGGCGAATCGTTCGCCTTCTACTGTTGCCACCAGTATGTTGATGCGTCGCCTAGCTTCGATGGTGCATGGCTTTCACGCCCTGTGCGTTTCCCCTCTCTTCCGAGGACAATTGTCACGAGATAGAAAGCAACGCATCCGGAGATGGGACGTTAGCTAAGCGCATCGTTTCTCCCTTTCCGTCTCCCCACTCGGGATAGGCAGAAAAAACCATACCACCATGGGAAACGACAACAACAAACTCCACACCAATAACGCTCCAATCCGCACCCTGGCAAATCAGACGTAGAGGGTAAGCCTACCCGTTACCCCAGACACCCTACAACTCTTCGCACACCGCACCGTGGTTTCACAGGCCCAATCGAACCCGCTCGGCCGCCCCCGTGCCCGGCCGCCGCGCCTCCTGCCACAGATGACATGTCGGGAACAGCCGGGCTGTGGAGGTCTTGCGGCGGATTTCTGCTCGTCTGCGGGCTTGCCCGTGATATCGACCCTTGCTTCACCTTGGGCGAAGGAGATGGAGTCGCGTGTTCGGATACCGCTGCCTGGGGAGGCCTGGTCCATGCAAAGCGAACCAACGAAGGAGGGGGGCAGTGTGAAAAGGGGAAAGAAGGGCGCATGAGGAGGGGGACAATGTAAAGCATTCTGTAGCCGACTTAGGCATACCATCTCCACTCAGAATTCGGAACGAACGACTCACCGCTAATCCTCGCGAGCGAGATGGCCGACACGACGTTTAATCATACTCCGGAGTAATACTTGTTCAGATAGGCTAGGTTCGACGGACATTAGACCGGGTCCGATCTTCCAGGATATAGTGAGTAGGAATATATCCGTTGTGCACCGATGATAGCCCCATGTTGAGACAGCCTTTGCTACAAGCTGATCGAGAGTTGCGGTGCTGGCCTCCACCAAATAAGCGCAACCACCATTTAAAGAATTTCACCCTACGTCCGCACGTTGTTGTGGTATTAGCAACGGCAGGCACCAAAAGGACTGTCACTCCTTTGGCGTGTGTGCGTCGAGTACTCCCCACGCCACGCCCTTATAGTCCACCCTCCTCGTGTCCCGGCACAACAACAGCCCAGACCGGCCCTAGCACCGACACCAACGCCATCGCCACCAGGTAACGAAAAATCCATCGCTCTCTTTCCCCTCGAAATCTCGACCTGAGCCTCGAGAACATCTTCCAACGACGATACTAACTACTGTGGGACGTTGGAGCATATCATGGCGCAATGGCCTCTCTCTGTTTTTCCTTTTCTTCATTCAAAACACAAGACGATTCATCTCTTCCACAGATAAGAGTCCGGGCTACAGATAAGCAATGGGTTCATAGCATTGCTTTGATGACCAACCTGTCTTTCTGCGGTTTCTCGTCTTACCTGAAACCCCCCCCATGCGGCGCTTTCGCCCTGCCAGGCCCTCCACTCCTCCCTCCAGCACCGGTCCCATGCCCGCTCGCTTTCCCTACGCCAGTACCACTTGTTTTGCTCGACTTTCCCGGGACGGAGTCGGCGTACATCGCTACGGGATCGTTGCTAAGGTCACGGGCCACCTATGAGAACGGATAAGGTTTACAAAGCATGGGGTAACAAGGTTCGGTGGGTTGACTCTGGTCTTTTATCAGATGCGCCGTTGTTGTGCTGCGACCTGCGACTGTGCGGGATGTCGTTGTTTGACTTCGAATGGGCAAGTGCGAGGGACGAAAGCAATTTAGTTAATAGGATGACGACAACGAAGAACACAACACGGTCAGTAAAAAGTTATATTGGGAGATAACGACGAAAACTTCAACAGCAACAACAACAACAACAACAACAACAACAACAACAACAGCATAGCGTTCATCGCGCACGCCCTCTGGCCTCCTGTAGTTATTCGAACAAGAACTTCTACGACGCCCGTGGAGTATGTCTGGAAGTCAGTCTCGATGGGAAAAGACCCTATTCTTTGGCCAGGATCATTCCTAGCTACGTTCAGTGGCCCTGGATGGGATGATAGAAAGCACCAAGAAACCATGATGGTATGATGCGCCTCGTTCACTTTTGATTGCCTCTCTCTTCTTTTCTGGAGTGCATGCCCCAACCCTCGACACCATGCCCCAACCCTCGACACGAAACGGGCGGGAAACTCCCCGGGGGTGATCGAGTGGAAACTTGCAAAAAACAAATCACCCAAACTATCACTAGACCTGAACAACACTGACTTCCCGGGTCACTCCCCATCCCTCACCCCCAAACCCCGCCCTGGAATACGTATCCTAGGGCTATCCCACCGGGGTGTTGGCAATTACATGCGGTGCATGGCGTCGTTTCTCTCCCACCTTGTTTGGGTGCGGCTGCTTCGTCAGGGGCTAAAATAAAGAAGGTTGGCTCAAGACCCTTTTATCATTAACGAGTGAGAGACACGGGGGAGGCAAGAGGGGCCCCGAGCATCGTACCCAGAGCAACCCCTGGGGGAGGCGTTGGATCAGCACTCTGCCGAGCACCCCAAACACACCTCGACGATGGCGTCATCGGTCCAGTTGAACGACGCCAGCGCAATCGCAGACGAAATTCGGGAGGGGCGACGCTGACCGCTAGAACCGGGACCAGGGTTGCCGCCGTTGCCTCCAGCCGCAGCGGCCTCCTCCGGAAGACTACTAGCAGGGCCGCGGCCCTTGCCGCGTCGACCACCTCCACGGACGGGTGACATCTGGTATTGCTGTCGAAGCCTCTATCCGGGGCGACGCACTGGAACTGGGGGCGGGCGGGGGGGGGGTCACTAGCGGCCCGCTGGCAGGAGAACTGCAACCAAATCACACACCACTAGGTCGAAGCCCCCTCCTTTGAGCTTCTGACGGAGTCGGGGGATATGTGCGCTTGCTACCCTGAAGAGTGTTTCGGCAAGCTAGGCGCTTGATTCAGCTAAAAAGCGAAAAGCAGCACGAACAGGATGTCATTGAGGTGGCTACGCTGTTAGAGCACCACCAGTGCTCAGTGATCAGTGATCCGATCTCGGCACAGTAAAAACGGCTCGTGGGTCTTCTTTAGACTACCCCCGGGAGGCCGAGAGTGTACCCTCCTACGAACTGCCGTGCGAAGGTGGAGAATGGTAGGGAGCGGTTTATGGGGCGTTATCGACATACATGGCTGATGTTTCCAAATTTCGACCTCGAAAAATTTGGAACTTTTCCAGTGTAAGTACAATAGGGCGCAGATTGGAAAGTTTCCAGTCTATTTGCCTTCTTACTCGCTTCGCAATGTTCCCGAATTTGGAACTATTCCAAACCTTTGGGGGAAAAGCGCGCTGTGTAAAACGCCCCTACAGTAGGCAGCGCTAAAAGACTGTAGCGCACGAAGGCGCGCCCTACATCACGTCCTTCCTACAACCCCTTGCCTGTGCCAACTGATATCGTAGGGTAGATTAAAGTGAAAGGCCTTGAGTCTTGAATATTGGACGATCTTCTCTTGCAGCGACACAGCAGAACATCCACCGTTTGCCAGAGGTGGGCGGAATCTACATGGAGCAGGCTGCGAAACGTCCTCTCCGGAATGTACAAAGAACCATGATTGGTATCCGAAAACAACTGCACCTACCTGCAGAATATAGAAATGATGCGCTTGCTTGCCTAGAATCTAATTGAGGATTGAGGGTTGTTGAGCTATACATAACATCAAGGTCGTCATCTCCACACAAGTAATCAACGCCATCGATCGGTCGATTGGGAGGAGTACCGATCGATGGCGTTTTCAAGTGACTTGGACTAATAGTCTACTATTTTAGGGCATGGTGACCATTCATTTGTTTGTCTGCGACGACAGACAGACCCCGCCTCTACAGCAGGGACTCAAATTGCTGTGAAATATGCAAATTGGCGCCCGGACCATATGTTGGACGACACACATCAAGTTGCAGCGTGCTACAAAGCTGCGTACAGTCGCCGTTGACGCCTACATATATTTAGACTATTGAAAGAAGCACGCATGTGTCGACGCAACCAAGATACGGTAGATGGTCTACATATCTTCTCGTCGGTTCTGGTCGACAGCATTTATCCGTGTGCCATCCCGTCGATTTTGCTGTACGCACGATAGATGATGCACTGACAAGTGCACGGACCAGTACAGAGATCAACGCGAGGAGAGAGAACACGAGATGCTGGACTCACCTTCTGCGCGGACGTCTCCGAACGAGGGATCCCCGAACAGCAAGGATAGATTGGCCCACTCCTCTCCTCCTGCTTTCCCTCCAAAGCAGGCAAGCTTGACGTGTACTACAATCCCCCCCCCCCTACCCTCTCCGTCTCCAGCCTACCCCACAAACAGGGGTGTTCCAAGAACGCTCATATCTGGACTCCTGCGCGTGCGCACGAATAATACTATTGTGTTGTTGAATGTATATACAACTGCAAGCGCGAAACCGTCACATCAAAGACTATGACTATAATAATTATTATAGTCATAGTCTTTGCGTCACATTGGCCCGGCCTGGAGGCTCCGTAGAATGAGTGAACTTCTCTGATACTCCATATATGGGTGGGGTACATCGCGGATGCCATGTTTATTGCGCGTGCCCCCCCCTGGCGCCGGCGGCTCGCGGACCAGCAGCTCGCATCTTGGCGCACTCGGCTCGAAGCGGGAATTGCGGAGCTGGCAGCTGTGAATGGCGCACCATGCGGGCATGGCTGGGGCGCCGACTCCGGAGGCTATCGACCGCGACGTCAGGACTCTGAAAGAGGTATGCACGATTGCAAAGAGGGAGCACCGACACACACTATAGGTCGTTCGCATGATGGGATGTACTTTCCCGACACCAGCAGCAGCGGTATTTCATCGGTCACACACCCTGGGACACACACAGAGTGGCGCAGAGAGACAGATACACCTGCTCTAGTTGTGCCGGGAAAAGGTGTCGGCATTGGTGCTCCTGCGCTGGTCCTGGTCGAGGTTGCAGTCCACCAGTCCCTGCTGTTGAAGTCCCCAGCTCTCTCTCTCTCTCTCTCTCTCTCTCTCTCTCTCTCTCTCTCTCTCTCTCTCTGTGCTGGGCTTTATTCAAACCGCTCCCGTGACGTTTTTCTTCCTTCTCCCCTAGCTGTTGCCGCGCAGCTACAACGATAGCTGCGTGTATATCTGCCTTTTGTGCATGAGAGTCCGAAGTGCCCGCCCCGACAGCACCACCCAGCACGTCAGCGCCGCCTCTCTCGTGCGCCAGAGCAAAGCCTCCCCCCCGCCCCGCGCGCGCACGAGCTGTTGTCGGCGCGTGTGTTGTTCGTGCTAAGTTTTGTGCTTTCATGCGGGTAGAACATTCGGAGAACATCCACACAGCAGCGGCAGAAGCAGCGACGGATCACATCATGCGTTTAACCCGGCGGCAACAAGCCGTCCCATGCCACAACGTGGTCCCATTTTCCTGCACGTCGCAAAACAGCAAACGCTATTTATTGTAGTGGAAGGCGTAGGGCGGACGCCCCTGCTTTGTGGCGATAAAACGCAAACACTGCTGCCGCTGTGTTGTCTAGACTAAAAAGAGCAGCGGCGATGCAGCATGTTTGCGAAGGAGCTACTGCTGCTACAACTAACTGCTGCGCCGCCGTTCCTCAAATCAGCGGCGCCTTTGATTTTTGAGGCATGCGCACCCGGCTCCCCCCCCCCCGGGAGAGTGAGGACGAAGGAGGGTGGGCTTAGAGCAGAGCACGGATATGTTTGATACTCTTTGTCCTTGCTGGCGGCGGGTTGTTCAGCGATGATTGGCAGCCGCTGGGGGTACAACGGAGTACAAACTTCCAAAGTTCCCCGCTCTGGCGCATACATTCTTCAGACCTGCTGGGTACTGCTGTGTTTGTTTGCTGGTGTAAATAGTCGCGTTTTAGTCTCTGCCTGGCACTGGTGGTGGTGATGCTCGCCTGTTTTGCTAGCCTAGGCCACCGGTTGGTGTTTGGTAGAAACTGCGGTCCTTCGTCTGTTGCTCTTGATCAATGTGGTTGGTCCCAACAGCACTTGCTGCGTTCCCTCTCCCGGCAGGCAGCCAACATGTTTCGTTTTTTTTCTTCTTATTTAAGGAATAATAAAAACACACACAGAAAGACTACCCATTCTTCTTATTTAAAACAGAACAACCTCACCTCTTTGTATGTGAATGGTCCAGGGTAGCGCAGCAGTGTTGTGGCGTATGATGATCTACGTGTGTTTCTGTTTTGCCCCCCCGTCCCCCCCGGTGTTTGCCATCGGGGTCGGAATTTCGTCGCTTGGCAACGACGTTGTAAAACAAGCCGTTCCCCCCGGTGTTTGCCATCGGGGTTGGGATTTCGTCGCTTGGCAGCGATGTTGTAAAACAAGCCGATCACCTCGTCAACTCGGCAACCAGGTCACCGCTTTTCTTTTCGCCTTTGTTTTTTTTTTGCGGTAGCCATGAATGGTGGTCGAGTAGATTATGTTTGTTGTGCAGGGTCGAGAACCCGCACTCCGCGCAAAGGGGATAATCGCACGTTGTGTTAAATTGGGCAAGCACCCTCGAGGCAGTTACACAGTGCTTTCAACTGTCTCTGGAGGTGAAAGCACCAGAAAATATATAAAGTCATACGCAGCTGTCATCCGTACGCAAGGAAGTAAGCACAAGATGCCGAACACCCTTAGCAGGATGCAGCGCACCCTCACGGCGCTTCGCGCTTGGTGATGTGAGAGCCTGGTCCGTTGAGAACCCGGCGTGCTCCGTCCCGGCTTTGTAGGGATGCGAGGTCAATGGTCTAACGTCTACGGCATGCACGACTATGAGTATACCCCCCCCCCCGATATCTCATCTCCCCTGTGGGTGGCGGGCTCAACACGCCAAGTTGATAGCCTACCATAGAGCCATCTCGCGTATCGGACTCTTTGTGCGTGCAATCGTTCAGGGGTCACGAAGGGGTAAAAGGAACTATTCAGGCCCTTTTGGGATCTTTGGTGATTCTCACACCTGTTGGGGGGATTAGACTGCAGCGTAGTGTATTAACACATTGCTCTTTTCACATGGTACTGTTGTGTACTATTTCCAAGATATCGGAACGATGTATCACGTGGGCAGGGGGCACTGCTGTTTAGCACGCGATTATCACCGTCCGATTACACGAGCACATATGCATACATAGGTCCAACATGTCATATATGCACACGTGCAGCAGCAGCCAGCCGGAGCACCCCCCAATTTCATTTTTATTGCGCGCACTGCTGCGTGTTTCTGTTGCAGTATCCCGGGGCGTGAAAACGCTCACTGAGAACTATTCCGGAAACGACGGTAGCTTCGATACTGATCGGTGTTGTAGATCTTGCGGTAGAGACGGGCGCCAGAACAAGTGGGCACGAACACGCACGTGTTTTTTACAAGATTGACGCCATTTCATCGGTTAGGTATGGCAACTCATCGGCGTGTGAAGAATAGTCCGGAACGGATGTTGTGGCTGGAGAAGAGGGCACCTGAACACCCACATTGCCGATGGCCAAGTTGTGTTCATGGCAACAGGCAATTTTACCCGGGAAGAACTATGTAGCTGGGACGGATGCGAGCCCCTACCGTCGATTTGATGGAATGGGTACAGGGGGTGTGATATCTTACGTCACATACATGCATATGTACTGTACGGTCCACACGCGACGAACTCCTTATGCTGGGGTTGTTTTTTTTCACCGTCGTGTGGTGGCAGCCGTCGCATTTTTTCTTAGTCTCTAATTTGTGGTTTT